GAGGATCGAGAAATCTTAAATTATCTCCCACACTACACTCTATCACTCTATAGAGCGCCTGTGCTGAGAGCGTGCGGCTCTTTTAACTTACCTTTATGGCTCGCTGTCTGCATACGCGTTCTCTAGCGGCAGAGTGTGAAACTAATGTAGGAGAATTCAGAACACTTAGGTTACCTCTGCACTCACACAAACCACAAAGCTCGTTCTCTGCAGAGTCGCTCCCTGGCGGCAGGCTGCGAAACTAATGCCAGAGGTTCCACAGCAGCTTTCACTAATGGGGTGAGCTGTTGAGTTATCTCTCAAGCTCCCACTTATAATGCTCCCTCTTAGAAATAACACCACTCAGCGAAGATTAAAGCTCAACTGGTGATCCACTGCTTACAGCTCTGCAATCCAAAATAAACGTAAAGTGCTCAAAGGAAGAGCACTCATAGCTTGAGATGTGCTTAAGCTTGCGGTCAAAAAGCTCGCCCAAAAAACTGTTAATTTATTCCTTTTTTGTATCGATAAAAAACACTTGGAAACATTTGAACGTTTTCTACTACCCACTTTTAATATGCATAGGGTGGATTTAAAAAATAATAACAGAGAGCCCCTTAATTGTCAATTTGCAGCAGATCCGAGTCTAGACTGGTCTACAAGAAGTAGACGTATGGCATAAAAAACTTTTTCAGCGAAAAAATGCATTGGGAAATGTCAAGAAGAGTTCAAAAGGAGTCGCTCCTTGTTGGTCGCTTACATTTTGGCCAATTAGACGCACAATGGGCCACAAATTATGCAACATGGCGCGACAAATTCAATTTGCTATGCCCCAAAACACGTGCCCAACAACAACACACACAATTATACACACACACAAACACACACACACACAGAGTGAGACAGGAGCCGCAGTCGAGCGACACGTCGAAACTTGTTCAAAAATCCCTGGAGAAATTAGTTTGATTTATGTTGAGTTTCCGGTGCAAATAAATTGCCAAGTTTACAGGACTCGGACAGGGACACGGCGACAAAAAGACAGGCGGACAAGGAGACCAGAGGGGGCAAGGGGAACAGGCAATGCTAACGCATAATTGATAATGCGAGCGGCGTAGAAATCAGCTTGTGGCAAGTGGATGACGGTGGCTAAGGAAAGAGGCATGAAGTAGGTGGTGGCAGGTGGGGGAGGGAGGGACAGCTGGGGGCATGTCCTGTATCAAATTGACACTTATTCGCTGCCCGTCACAATCGTGACTCATCGCCCCATCTATAAAAGTGGCTAAAAATATGCTGAGAGGAAGAAGAAGAACTCTGAACATCTCTCAATAAAGTTGGATAAACAGCCACAAAAAAATAAATGCAAAAAATGTAGGAAATGTTGTCACAGGCTTTAAGCCAGATCAATTTTGAAAAAGCAATTCACATTTAAGCCACCTCATCTCCCCCCTTACAACCCCAACCCAACCTCTCCCTCCTCATGCACCCCTCCAACTCCCTTGGTGTCTGTCAAATGCGGTCAACTGTCAGGGCTAAAAATCAAAATTGCTCGGCACACGGCAAATGGAAAACCTCAAAATCAATTAATTTTATTGGCTATCCCATTTATTTTCCTTTTGTTTTTGTTTTTTTTTTTAGGACAAACTGAAATGTCATTGTGGCGACAAACTATTTGAAACGAGCATGTGGCACAGGCGTTGTTCGTGCCACACTCCAAAGGTTCGATTGACACATACACACACATCTTGTCAAGTTTGCAACGCAATCTTTGATATACATATACATACTTGTATATTAAATACTCTATATTATAAATAGTGGGTTTTTAAAAAGTCCTAAAATTAGGCAAGAAATTATAGAAAAAACTCCTCTTTTTAATAAAGCAACCATAAAAGATTATTATTCTGTTTTAAAATGAAGAATTCGACTAAACTTCAATAGAGAAACAAATCGTATAACAGAGAATATTCATTTAATTTGTAGGAGCAACCATAAAACCGAATTATTTACCTATAAGCCAAGCTGATCAATCTGGAATCAGATAAACATTGAGTTCCTTTCCTGTTTTTTAACAAAAGAGAAAGTAAACAAAACTTAATTACAAATTTGTTAGAGAAACAAGTCGTAATACAGAAAAATAATCTGTTGTAAAAGCAACTATAAAACACAAATATTTCATTTTAAATCAGCTTGATCAATTAGGAATCAGACAACTGGTTAGGGCATATATAAACATTGAGTTCCTTTCTATTTGGTATCTTTCCTGTTTTATCGGTTTTTCTCTGCTTGTTTGTTGTCCATTGGGAGGGGTATGGGGAAGAGGGGGGCATGGGGATTTCCACAGTTTGACATTGACAAAAGTGCAAAGGATTAAAACTTGTGCAGTGCCAAGCAACAATCCCCAAAATAAGAAAAAAAAAGAAATAGCCACAAAAAAGCACAACACACTAATACACTCGTACACCTCTTGGAACGGTGTGTATATGTGTGAGTGCGACTGTGTGTGTGTGTGTTTGTGTGTGTGTTGAGGTTGAGTGAGAAATTGAAGTCACGTAGCTGTGTGCAAATTTTTTGTACCGTTGACACTGACATTTTTTGTTGCCTGTTTTTCTATTTTTTATTATTGCTCTTTTTAGTACGGATTTGGTGTGTTCCGTTTTTTTTTTATATTTTATTTGGTTATGTTGGTAAATTTAATTTTTGCTTAGTAGCCAGGCGAACTGTGTACGATGCCAGACTGATTAAATTTGCCAACATTTACGTGATTTCAATGCGTAATTTATGCCGCTGCTAACGGTACTCAAGAGAACACATTGCCATATGGACCACATAGAGAGAGAAAAAGATAGGGAGAGAGGAAGAGGAAGAGAGGGAAGCGAAAACTTTTTAATTAGTTTAGTGTGAAGAGCGTTGCCAGACCAATGTGAGAAAATAAACGCAACTCTTTTCAATGCACCTTTTTTATTTACAGATCGACAAAAAGATAGTCGTTGGTGTCTAATGTCTGTTTGCATAGTTGCCACAAAAGCATGTTGCATGCCACATAGGTGCTGCAGCAATTGAGGTCTTCGTCTCGCTGTTTAGAGATCTTATCGGGCAACTCAGCTGCAACTGCTGCTGCTACTGCAACTGCCAGTTGCCAAATCCACATCCAATTAAACAGATGTCCTCGGCGTCCTCGAAGGCCTGTCAACGCCGTGCAAAAGGTGAAAAGTTGCTGCGATATCAAATGTGTCAAGGCCTGGCCACAATCGCGTGACTTGACTGGAGTCAACCGCGACTACCAACGGCGTTGCCAGTGTTGAGCAACACACAAAACTGCCATCCTTAAATGCGCTTTGCAAGTGTTGAGCTTTTAGCTGAGGCTTGCAATTAAATTTAATTTACATATATATTTTTTTTTAATGAAAAATAAACCTTGAAATACAAATAAACTACTTTCCGCTTTAATAAAATTTATATATATTCAATTTAATTACATAATTTTGGTTAGTGTATACAAAGCAGCGACTTTTCATGCTGGTAATTCCTACTTCTTCTTCTTCTTTATGTTTGATGCTGCTGTTTTTTTTATATTGGCTCACAGCCCAATTTAATAGTTTTTCGATTTGTTGAAAGCAAAACGCCAAAGCATAGAAAATAAATTGTCACAAAATGCTGGGCAAACCCAACTTAAGAGCAACCGCAAAGGTTGGCCAAAAGTTTTAGAGTGAGAGAGAGAGAGGGAGAGAGAGGGAGGGAGAGAGAGAGAGAAAGCAATCAACTTATACTTGGTCTTATCTTTATCAATTGCGAAGAAAAGCGCATCGAGAGCTTTCCTTGTTGTTGTTGCTGTCGTCACATATCGAATGCTGGCAAAAAGTTCGACAACTCTTCCCCCTTCCACTGCTCCGCTAGAGAAAAGTCAGAGAGGCCAAAAATCTTGGCGTTTTGGCCGCCCACCAACTTTATTTGAAGTTGTAAATAACTTGAAGCATTCGCAGGCAAAAATGGCAAATATAAAAGAGAATTCAATTGAAATTTATTTGATTTACTCTCCGTACAATAACTGCATAATTATGAGCGTATCTTGTACTCGTCATAAAATCGAATATATATAAACATAAAACCAAGAACAGGAATAAAATCAAATAAAAGTGCCCCCTTTTTGTGCGCATAAAGTGCCCCTTTTTAACAGCGTCGTCTGCGTCTGTTGTAAGTAGTTGTAAATATGCTCAACATGCTGCACACTCAATGAATGAAATGTGTGCACAATGTTGAAAATAGTTGTGACACCCCCCGCAACTCCCTCTTACGTAAACACTTGCTGCTGTTGTTGATGTTGCTGTTGTTGTTGCTGCTGTTGTCCATAGCAGGCAGCTTGTTGTTGTACAGCTTCCGCTTATATGGACACCACTTCAGCATGATAAATTGATGTTGCCGGTTTTAAAAATGGCAAAAGGGAAAATAAAATATGGAGCAGCATCAGCAGCAACAACAAAGTCTGAACTTGACTTTGTTATACCCGTACATAGACTATATAATATATAATAATGTAATATAATGTATGAATATGCACTAATTGCACATGGAAAGTAAACACGTTTCTTTTTCACCTGCAACTCTCATTAATTATTTTGTAGCAGTTAGCTTACAGTGCTGTTCATTTGGTTAGGGTATTTTGCAAGCGCTGCTCACCTAATGTATGCAGAGTAACGGTTTATCTTTGTGTCCACAGTTGGCTATGCGCTTGCTTATGACCCTGCATAATTGCAACAATGCAGTCAGTCAGTCGGGGAACTAAAGGGCAATAACAACACATCAACTTGCGGGCACATACATTTTGGCACTCACTATATTAAGTCTATGAAATAAATGTAAGACTTAAAATGCTCATAGCCGTCAGCTTTTGTAAGGCAGCAAACAAAGGTGGTATTTAATTTTGATATTATTGCCATTGTGTTATAAACTTGACATTTGGTATTTTTAACAAGCCACAAAACTTAGTATATTTTACCTCTCGTTATTTCACAGCTGCGTACATGCGGTCACATTGTCGCAAAAACAAAACAGCTGAAAATGCACGCAAATACAAAATTAATAACATTAGTGGTACTGGGTGAGTTTTAACAAACATACACATATCGCATTGCTCTAACAGAGGTGTGTGCTTAACAGGGATATGTGCGGCAACAGCGCACGGGGACATTACTGGCATGCTGGCTGCGCTCCAATACTTTGACCTATATCTTAGCATGAATGGGACGACGACGCCAGCGACGGGCAGCTTGTCGCGCGGCCAATGCGACTACAGCTTCCAGTCGTACGCGCTGATGCGCGATCGTCACACGTGTGTGCCGGACGACGAGCACATTGCCCATCTGTCGGAGGCGCCGCAACAGCGTCGCCCACCGATATTATTGAAATGCCTGCAACGCGATCTGTCGCAAGCTGGCAACGATAGTGATGTACATCCAAGCGTGCTAATACCGAAAACAGCCAAGGAGATTCTAACGCTGCTCAAACCCATTGGGAATGCCACCAAACGCCACGAAGCCGGAAGCTGTGTCGTCATGTACTTCTGCACACCGTTCAGTTTGTCATGTGCTCGGGTGGCAAAGCTTGTGAATTTGTTGCCACATATGTTTCCCACGCTGCCCATTGGCTACATTGATGCATCACAATTTACCCGATTCAATGCCGAGTTTGGCATCATTTCGCTGCCAACGCTGATGATCTTCCACCAGGGCAGACCGCTGATCAAATACGATGGAGACGACAATGTGGTGACATTCATTACGCGACACACGAATATTCGTCCGATTGACTTTCATCTTATTCAACCGAATTTTGCAAACGGCCCGGTGCCAACGGAGCCGGGTCACAAAACCGATTTGTATCTATTCCTCTCCTGGGGATTCATCATCGTCTGCCTGGGGAATTATGTGCGGCGCACTCTCTTCTGGAAGCAGCTGGTGGAAATGGTGCAACGCAATTGGCGCGAATCCGAAGAGACCCAAATGGAAATGATTGACTAATTTTTCATTTTGGTGTCATTAGTAGGGGGCGGGGAGGGGTTAGTTCCAGTAATAAATAACAGACTAAATAACTTGACTACGTGTTTGTAATGTATATTTTCGTTTAATTAAATTCACATTAACATTTACGCTCATTGCCTTATAATTAATTACATATGCATATTTGGGATTTTATAGTTTAGTTTCCGTTCTTTTTTTTCAAATTTGTCTCTGCAAAATGTAAAGCTTACTTATTTCGAAAAAACAAACTAAATTCTCGTTGAATATTTTATATGCAAAACTTAAGCTTAGTGCTTTCAATATTATTCAATAGTTTCTTTAATCTTTAATACAACTAAAAATTTGCATTAACAGTTTTAAGAGTGTGTCTGAGTGTGTGGGTGTGTGTGTGTGTCAACAGTTGCCTGAAATGGAAACACAAAAAAAAAACTATATTGATATAGATTGGTTTCTTTTTTGTTTGGCAGATTTGCGTGCGAAAAACCACATCAAATATTTTGTCATTTTCAATTTGTGGAGAAGCACGCGAAACTGCATATTCAATTCTGTCATTATGTTGTTGCTATGTTATTAAGCATTGTAATCGTTTATCGATAAACGTACTAGTAGTGTGGATGCTTTGCAATTGGGGGCGGCTGCTAAATTATAACTGTCTACATCTGTGTGTGTGTATGCGTGTGTGGTGGGTATCTAGGTATGTGTGTGTGTGTTTAATTTCCCCATATCCGATTATTGAGGCTTGTTTCGCTTGGCCGATTTGAGACGTGGCTCATTCGCATCCTCACCTCCATTGGAACTAGAGTTGGAATTGGATTGCTGGTGATGATGATGCTTCAGACGCTGCTGGCGACGAGCGGCTACATGATTTGCCGCATAGGGATGTGGATGTATGCTGTGTGTTTGTAACAAAGAGAATAAAATATTAATTTCAATTTTAAAGCCAATTCAACAATACGTAAGGACGTAAGGGCACAACAATACGCAAACAAAATAAGATATGACAACGTAAAAGAGAGAGAAAGAGAGTAATTCCAATTCGAAAGTAAATTTTTTCATAAAAATGGTGACAGCAATGCGAGGCGAAATGTGTGTTATTCAAAATGAGAGAGAGTGGGAGAGCGAGAGAGAGCGAGCTTTTTAATGAGCAAACAGGCTTAAGCTGGATGAGCGAGGGGTTGGGTTGGGGCGGGGTAGACGAGCGGGCACCGTTACGTGAGGTGAAAAGGTACGCAGTAGTTAATATATGTTGTTGTTGTTGCAGTCCCAACGTAAGACAACAGCAGCGGCGCAGTAGCAGCAGCAACAGCGTTAGAATTTTGATAAGCGTCGTTTGTTGGTTTTTTCTTTTTTGTTTTGGGAGTTGGTTGTCAGCGTAGTTTACGTAGATAGTAGTGTCACGTGGTACGTAGATGAGTATCGTTGACCAATTAGGCGTAGCGTAGTGTAACGTGTAACGTAACGATGATTTCAATGCGCAATTAAAACATAAAACGTAATGAAATTTGTCAACAAATGTCAATAAAAAAATTCATATAAGAGACCAACAACAACGCGGCGGGGGGACGGGCTTACGTAATACGCAAACATGCTGATTACGTGTGACGTCGCCTTATTCGTTGAGATGCTCTACGTAGAGAATGTGTATTTGTATGTGTGTGTGTGGTTGCTTATGTGTATTAGTAGTAGATTTGATGTACATAGCTTATTGTTGTTGTTGTGTGCGTGTGTGGCGGAGGCTTACACGTAACATGTGGCACGTAACGCAACGTTACGTGTGACGTATGATGCAAGTCAGTCGCAGCGATGATTTTGTGGCTCGTCGTAAAAAACGCCGTGTGACTTTTGCTGATTGGTTGGTTGCTTTGTTTGTTAGTAGGTGGATGGGATTAACGTAGTCGCTAAAGTTATCGTTAACATAGCGCGTCGTTGATCGTTGTTCAATATTACGTCGTAATGTGTATATATATATTTATGTTTATATATAGTAGTAGTATATATTGATTATAGTTTTTTTTGATTTATTTTATCTGTGTTTCTACTTGCGATAGAAACGTGAATTATACAAACGCCAATCTCTGCATTAGAATCGAAATATATATATTATGGTAGAGAGTGAGAGAGAGAGAGGAGAGAGAAATAGAGCGAGAACTTGTTAATTAAGTTATACAATTTAAAAAAAAAAACATATATACATTAAATATGTTTATTATATATATATAGTGTGTAACGACTATTTTAGCTTTAGCGGGGAAAAGGCCAAATAACATAACGTTGTGAAGAAGTCCAATAACGCAGTTAATTTCTGGAGGTTATTACATCGAACTTGACACGTCAAATAACGTAACGTAACGCAACGTAACGCAACGTAACGTAAAGTGAACTTTCTGTTAACAGAGGGTAAGCGTTTATGGGTTTTTTAAACGATTTTTAGGCTAGTCTCAGAGGCCTATTTTTGTGGGGGGTTATTGTTATTGTTGTTATTGCTGTTGTTGTTGTTGTCGTTTTTGTTGTAGTTGTTGTTGTTGTAGTCTATGCGAACAAACCTTGGCGTTGCGGCAATGCTGTGACTAACACTGGAAACGGTGGCCAGCGGTGACGATGACGGCGTACGTAGTGGGCGACGGGGCGTGGCCAAATGCTGACCATTGCGTAAATACGCTCGACGCGATGATGAAGCATTGACATAATGATAGATGTTGTTGTTGTTTGTTAGGTCGTAGACAGGAGGCGAATTCGCTGCTGCTGCTGTTGTTGTTGCGGTGACGCGGCGGGGCGACGTTGTTGCTGCTGCTGCAGTGTCGCTGTTGTCGTTGTCGTCGTCGTATGGAATCGATTCGAAGAAAATGTAAAAGAGATTACAACAAAACACATTTTGGAGGAGAGGGGGTTTGGAGTGGTGGTGGAACGTATGTTATGTCTTTTTTTAGGAACTCTTAAGCACATAAGTGTTATTGTTTTTTGGGGTCAGTAGCAGTTTTTCATAGCGTAGCGCAATCCGTTAACGTAACGCGTGTTTTGGGTCTTCATTTACGCAACGTATGTTAAATGGATGAAGTGATTCAAGAAATAAATACTTGAAAACTTATAAAAGCAATTCGAAACAAAAAGTATATATATATTTGAAAATCAGAGAGCATATATAACAATAAACAAATTGCTTGCCGCCTACCTCAAGAATTGTTCTCTTTTTTGATTTATCTTTTAGTATTTGTATTTTTAACGTAGTTGAGGAATGTAAAAGCAGAAATTTAAATTCAATACATATATATAGATATTTATATACATATATATGCTGTTAGGTTTCTTGGACTCTGATATAGAGATTCATTTGTATATATATATATATGTATGTAGATAGTAAAATATATACTGTATGTACATTGCTTGATTTAGTAATTATTGTATCTGCAAGTAAATACAAACGTTTAAATTTAGCGGGCATTGTTACTCACAAAATATGTAGTACAAAAAAGGGAACAGCCTAACTCTGTTAAGGTGGTAGGTCGTGATTTGTGTTGGGGGAAGGGAATATGCCTTATGTTGCTGCCAAGCTTATGTTATGCAACTGTTAGTGTGCAGCGCGCTGTTACTAACAGCTGTATGCTCTGTTAAACAACAAGTAAGGTAAGCTCTGTTAAACAAGTGTATAAATTTAGATGCCTTAATCATATTATGACTATTATATTAGAGTTGTTAAATATATTTTATAATTGCCACTGTTAAATAAATTAAGAAATTTAAACGTAGTTCTAAGGGCAGCTACAAGTAAGAGTCGCATTGTAACTAACATGTTTAAGCCGTGTTTAGCAGACACAGCTGTTAACCTTAACAGCGACACAAGGCATATGTTAACAGTTACAGTGTTAGAAAACGCCAAAAGCTCTCGAGTCAAGTGTCGCATGTGGAAAACAACAAATGGTTAACAAAGAATCAGAATCAGAATCTTAGGCGACTGATAGGCACCACTTTAAAACCTGTAAGCGACTTGCAAGGATATCGATTGATCCTTCAACTATCAGTTGGACTCACCTGGTATGCGGTGCTATTGGCGTCGCTGGCAGAGCGGGCAATTGACGGCCGGCGGAGCGTGTTGGCTCCTGGATCACACAATCATCATCATCGTCGTCGTCATCTAACGGCTCAATGGTCAGCGTCGAATTGTTAGCAGCCGGACCAGCCGTGATAGCCTGCATTCCACCGTTGCCATGTGGCATAATACCACGTGTGGCACGTGTGGTGAATTCGCGATCAAATTGCTCTGCCTCCTCCTCGTCCAGATTGATAAACTCCTGACGCTCCTCCAGCTGGCCGGAGCGCAAATCCTGCTCCTTCTCAATGATGTGGGCCCGTTCGCCAATATGATGACCAATGGCCATCTTTTTCATGCCCGTACGTGAATCCTGTACGGTTTTGCGTGTCTCGCGCACTCCACCAGGACCCGTCTTGGTGCTCGAACTGGCCTGATAGATCTGTGGACGACCGTCGGGACCCGAGGACATGGTCATCACGGTGCTTTGGCAAAATGAAGCTCCATTATTGGCTCCAATGTCTGCAGTAGTAAGAATATTATTATCTTTCTTAAAAATGCATCTTGAGGTGGACAGTGAAATAGATGCGAGTTGCATAAAAACTAAGAAAACTTTAATTTTTATATTGATTTTCTATGCAATATGTAAGATTTGAATAAATTCATTAGAATTAAGGCTTAACTGAGCAATCGTTACATAGCTGAGCATAGAATATAGTGTAAGCTCTAGGATAAATGAAAATTAACAATTGGAAGGTGTGAGAACTTCTTTACAATGCTCTCAAGTCAGAAAAAAATGACATTAAAAGGTGCGTATCAGCAACATAATCGTTTGGTGTTATTGGCTAAAAGCGATCATTTTCAATCAAGCATGATGCTTGCCACCAAGTTGTGTTCTCTTCACACCTATTTTACTGTCCAGTTGTGTATATATTTAAATGAATTATACGCACCGGCATTAAGCAAACGATTAAAATTAGGCATGGCTGGGAAGCCAAACAAGCCACCGCCCATGGGAGCCATCGCCTGTTGGCTGCGATCCATCAACGCTCCCTGCTGGAAGCCGGCATCGAATGGCGACGGAGCCAGCATATTGAACGGATCCGGCATAAAGCTGTTCATCAAGCGATTCATCGAACGCATCTGCATATTCATTGCATTCATGTGATGGTTCATGTGGTTGCTGTGAATAGAGTTAATGAAATCATTAGTTTAGTTTATTCCGACTTGAAATAAGTTCAAAACGAACTTTGTTGTCTCTGTCGTCGTTTCGGAATTGCTTTTCAATTTTTTACTGTGAGAATTTCGTTGGCGTTTCATAACTTTAATTAAAGTCTATGAAATTCTAGAATTGCTTGTTTTTTTTTACGATTAAAGATAACTTGAAAGCACTGAAACTTAAGCAAATACACTAAATTTGTAGCCTGCTTTTATTTCGTTCAAAATAAGTCGGGTTTTTCGTATTAGGAAACTCATGTTCAAATCTAAAAGTGTTAAATTAACGATAACTAGAATACAGACTTCTGGAAAATTCTAATTTCTAGCATTTTTCTCTTTGCTAAATTGATGAAATTATTTGCAACAGCTGTTTTTCTTCACATAGCTGTTTTTATACATATATATCTATGGTAACACTGGCAAAACAATGCACTTTGTGTGCATGCAACAAAAGCTAAATAAATACATCAAATAGTTCACATGCAAGAATCAAAATATTTAAATAAGCAATAAATAATAAAAGCAACTTTCTTAAAGGCACGCAATGCATATGCGTTGTGGTTGCATAAAAAAAAAAAGCGAAAAGGAAAACTAAAACTTAATTATTTATTAGATTGACAGCAGCCGCAAGCGTGCAATCGAAATTATCGATTAATTACGAGCCCTCGTCTTCGTCGTCGTCTTCTTTTCTTCCTGCTGCTTTTTACGCTGGCATGCTGCGCACTCACACACACAAGCATACAACGAAAAACTGCTTTGTGTGTGTATTGTGTAAAATGTACAAACACACATACACTCACTTACACACATGCACATACGTTTTCTGCTTTGCCCAGCGGAGCACATAAATCAGCGAAGTGAACGTAAAACCGTGAAAACCGCACAAAACAACACAACACACATGCAGTATTATTAATTGTCTCGCTTCTCTCTGCGCTTTAAGGGCCACAACTTTTCCTCACACCTTCAATGCAAAAAAATTTTCCACGCCCCAAAAACAACAACTACTTTGTAGGTCTTAGGTTTTTTTTCTTTACTTACTTCATGAATCCGAGATCATCATCGATGTCGCCCATTAACGCACCGAACATCGACATATTTGTTTATTTTTACTTGTTTACGCACTGCTGCAATTATTAAAATGTTTTTCTTTTTTTTATATTTCTTATTTTTGTATCTTCCTTCTTTTTGTAACAAACTTCACGAGTTTTCTCACAGACGATGTGACCGCGTGGCAATAGTACAGAAATACCAAAGGCAAAACTACCACAAATAAATACCGACATGTGAAGGTCTGCCAACTTGTCGCAAAAAAGGAAAGGGCTGTTAATATTTGAATTTTGCTCAAGTGAAACTTATATTTTATCAATGCTCACTTTATTTGATTAAATGTTAAACAAGTTTATTTTAAAATATATGTTAAGTTAATTTGATCGCCATACTTTGTTCGCTGCGCTTTTCATTTGAATATACATACATATATATGTATTTTTTATAGATAAGGCTCCGCCTTCTCCTCAATCCACTCGGAATGGTGCAACACGCTAGTGTACACGCCAGGGAAGCCCTCGCGGGCACAGCCCACACCCCAGGATACAATGCCGACAAGAACACCATCCACAGTCAGTGGACCTCCTGAATCACCCTGGCAGGCATCCTTGCCACCCTCCAAGAAGCCGGCGCACAACATCTCCTCGGTGATGGTGTAATCCTTGGTCATGTACTGAGCCCCGCACGTATTGGTATCCATAATCTCCACTTCGACGGCACGCAGCATGGCGGGCAGTGCCTCATCCTGTTCCGTCCGCTTGCCCCAACCACTGACCATGGCATGGGTGCCCGCTCGTGGCATATCCACAGCCAGAGCGATTGGCTGCACCAGATCCGAGTAGATCAAGGGTGCAACGGTGATAATCATGCCCACATCATTCACATGCGTCTTCTTATTGTATCCACTGTGCGGTATCAATTTCGTCACCTTGACACCCTGCTCATCCAGATCCGCAATCGAATTCTGTCCAGCCACAATCCTAATATACGATGCATAGCGTCCCTTGATGCAGTGGGCAGCGGTGACCACCACTCGCGGCGCATAGAGGCTGCCCCCACAGATGTGCAGCAACATATAGGTCTCCAGGCGCACCGACACCTGATACGGATAGCTGGCAATGTCCGCCTCCTCTCCGCCGGCAATGCGCCCGTTGATGGCGGCGCCACTGCTGTGGGCCACCAGCGACAGCAGACCCAAAACGATGATTCCCAAATACGACGACGACGACATTTCGCTTAATCGAGTATTGTACTTATGTTAGATTAATCGGTTGTGCCACGGCTCTTATATAGGGTCTCGCGCTTATCGCTGTTAAAGCCCGAAATCGCGTCGAAATTCAGGAATATTGTTAGATTTCGTTAACGCTAAATTTCATGATATTATAAATGTTTATATGCTTTTCTGTTTTTTATATCCATTATAAACATAAGTTGCTGTCGGTCGGCTTCTAAAGAGAAAATTTCTGAACGATTATCAAACCATAGACCCATAAGCTCTTCGATAAGTCTTTTTACGGTATAGGTAAAAAAAAAGGAAGCAAAAACTAGACTCAAGTAAACAAATATATTATTACGCACACAATAGTCTTACTATAATTATAAGAAAATTACATTGAGTCATTTTAAGTGAACTTTGATAATTTTGAATTGACACACGTCTGCGATTTATTTAATCTAATTTCATTAAAACTTAAACATGTCTATAGATTAAAATCACCTTTGGCGAGTGCGAAGGCACCAGTCTGAGATAAGACCAAACAATTACTATGATTTTTATGTTTCCCATATAATATTTTATGTTTCGATATAAACAAATATGGGGCCCGCTACTATATCGTAATTCTATATGGTAGCCAATTTTTGAATCGGTTTTCGGCCAATCATTAAATGAATTGCTAAATTGTTGTTAAGTTGTTTCAATAATCGATGAATCATATTCTTGTGCTTGGTCATTGATCAAATAGGTGCACCCCAAGTGCTTAATTGACAGCTGCTAGCAGTGAACTCGATCAAAATAAAATACACTGCTCAAAACTATGGAGTGTTATAAAGTATTTTTAGAGTATTACAGAGAATTTGTTATACTTTTTAATCTACATTTCATCCTTTATAAATAGAAGTTGAAAATTTCAAAAAGTTTTTTGAAATTACGTCTTATATTTATTACAAAAAAAGTTAATTGCCTAGCAATTTTTCACTACCCACAAATAGATGATTCCAATATGTGAAGTTGTTATTTCCGAGAGATTACTGTAAACACGGTAAATTCAATGTTTGAGTTTGTTCGGTTTAAATTAGGCAACCGTTAAAATCAATTTCTTGTTATCGACGCAAAATCGATAAGTGTGTCCAATAACTCCCATAGCAGCCAGCTTTGCAGCGTAAGCAATCTGATCAGATTACAAGTTCAAATTTCCAAAACGGATAAGATAAGTGTTAACGCCATTTGAGACAGATTTATAATGCTGGTATTATCGCCCATAAATTGCCCGATTGAACAATTAAACTAACGATAAGTCAGCCATGTATAAAAACCCAAATACAACGAAATTTAGCTTTAGTTGAACAGAAAATGTTTCGCCTTTTGATCGGATTGAGTATTCTGGGATTGGGGCTGGCGGGCACCACTTTCCAAAGTGGTGGTCTACCCATGCCCGATGGCCGCATTGTGGGTGGTACCGAAACGGACATAACCCACTATCCCCATCAGATATCCATGCGATATCGCGGCAACCACAGATGTGGCGGATCCATCATTGCCAGCAATATAATTGTGAGTGCCGCCCATTGTGTGAATACCCTCAAAGGTGTTGAAGATCTGTCCATCATTGCTGGCACCACCTCAACAATCTGGCCAACTGGTCAAGAGTTGCGTGTACGTGAATTCATTATGCACGAGAAATACAGGAGCTTGAACAATGACTATGATGTCACCATCCTAATTCTCGATGGTGATTTTGTATTCAATGAATCTGTTCAACCGATTGCTTTGGCTAAGGAGCGTCCGGAGCATGATACTGTCGTCACTGTAACTGGCTGGGGCACAACCAGCGAAGGTGGTGTCATCTCAAACAATCTGCAGGAGGTGGAAGTCAACGTTGTGGAGAATGCCAAATGCAAGAGCGCCTACTCCATTACCCTAACCAGCCGCATGTTGTGTGCTGGTGTTAACGGAGGTGGCAAGGATGCGTGCCAGGGTGACTCCGGTGGTCCACTGATCCTCAACAATGAACTGCTAGGCATTGTCTCGTGGGGCACGGGTTGTGCTCGTCCCAAATATCCGGGCGTATATGCCTCCGTTCCCGAATTACACAGCTGGATTGTGGCGACTCGCGATGCCAACGCCAAAGTAGGCAGCATTGATTTTCTCTGAATTCTGAATATAGCCATTATCTAAATACAATAAATCGCCTGTGGCTAGATCTATGATTACGTGTTTTACTGATGAATTAGCCGATGGTTGATATTGAAAAATAATAATAACAACACGTTATCTGATCGCTTAGATTATGAAATAATATATTGGCCTTGCTGCGTTCATAGCAAGGAACTTTTGAGAGCAAACATGAAATTGGTAAGGAGAGAAAAGCTTTGAGATCTATATTGTCTTAGGTATTTTCATAGCATGCAGCTTTTGGAGAGAAACAGAATGAGAGAGGGAGAGAGATACAGAGAGCGCAAGCTATTAGTGAGAGAGGATAAATACGTTGGCTTTTCTATCCGCAGAGAAAGTTATGTAGAATTAATACGTACTGTTTTATTTCCATAGCAAGCATCTTTAGAGAGAGAATAAGCAGTTAGTGAGACGGAAGAGAAGAGCATTATCTTTTAATTAGTTGCTTCTCTATTTAGAGAAAGTGTGATGGATGACTTATTTAAGCAATTCTCAAAAGCTTCAAATTCTCTAAAATCTCAATTAATTTTGGTAGTGTTGCGAACAGTTGAATATGTTGCTACATTAATTTACATCACTCTAATCGGCCGGTTAATTACTAAATTGTTTATTTTATTATTGAATGGGCATTAAATCGGCAAAACAAAGTCTGAATACATATCGCCTAAAAGCAATCGTTGATAGCACCTATCAGCACATGCCGTAGGCATTTATATATATGTATATGTGTCTATTTATAATACTCCGGCGGATTTCAGAGTATCCTCGATCCACGTCTTCAGGCTGGGGGCGTACGTATAAACAGAGGGATAGCCCGGCCGGCCACAGCCGCGACCCCACGAGACGAGGCCCACAAGTTGTTCGTCTACCGTCAGAGGACCGCCTGTATCGCCCTGGCAGGCATCGGTGCCACCTTGGGCTACATCTCCGGCACAGATCATGCGCTCCGTCACCTCACCGGCACCATAGATGCCATTGCACTGTTCCGAGCTAACGATGGGCACACGTGCCTGCTCCAGTTTGGGGCTGGAGGGACCCCACTCCTCGCGATAGCCCCAACCGATGACGATCGCCTCACGACCCGTCGCCGGACGTTCCGGACGCAACTCGATCTTTCGCAAGCCGTGCTGCGTCAAATCTAATGATGTATCCAATATGATGACACCAATATCATAGTCCACCGTGATGGGTGTATATTGCGGATGATGGACCCACCGCGAGGCTGGATAGACGAAACCATCGCTGCCATTGCGTGTATTGGCACCAGCAACCACAATGAGTTTTGTATCCTGCGTCAGATCAACCAGACACTGGGCTGCCGTGACAATGCCCCGGTCCGAGTAAATCACTCCGGCACACTCGTGCATGTACGGCGAGCTGCTGCTCCGACGGTAGCGCACTGAAACGCAATACGAATGTCGTGTTATGTCCACCTGGGCACCATTGATGATCCTGCCTTCCGGATGGGCTTCCGTGTGCCAAACGAGCGCAGCCAGCAGCAACAGCATCAGCGGCGGCAACAAAGTCAAACTCTTACCGAGTATTCTCATGTTTTGCAAGTGAACAAGCGATCGCCACATATCGAACTGATTAGCAAATTTGTTTTGTGTTCTGTGTTCTCTGGCATTTTGCAGTCTTAACATTTTTTCCGGTGATTATCTTAATTGCCGACACTCTAGATAGGGTCTCCTGTACAGGGTCCGAGCTGATAATGTAGCTCCGCCAATATCAAATGCAATCGAATAGAGCTGTCAGCTTCGTTACGTTACGTTACGAGACTAGTTACATTTCCGTGTTACGTTACGTTAACGAACTTTTTACTATTTTTAGCTTAACTTGTGCCACTTTCGTATTAATAAATCTATAAGTCTTTAAGACTCAATGGGTTAGCTAAGAATTTTAGTAAATGAAAATCATTGATCTCTGTGTGAATTGAGTTGAAAGTGAAGAAATATCCGTTTATATAGCTATGTTCATTATCAGCTATATATGAGACGGAATAAAGACCTTAAGATTAGTAATGCCCTAAAAAAAAACTGTAGCATACTTAATGTATTATTTGGGTTTTTCTAACATTGTGTTAATCTTATAAGCACAAAGCATAATCTAGATTTGGTTAATCAGGGCCTTACATAGAAACACAATATATTGAATTATGATTGCCTTAAGCAACTTTGATTAAATCTAGTTATAAAACAAAATAACAAAAAAATACCAAGAAAATGGGCGCCAATCAACAACAAATTTATTTGGACATGTGATTGAAATGAAATTTGATATACCCTATTGGATATGGTGATACTAGCAACTAGTCCTAGATGTTGCCCATCTTGGCGTGGATCCAGTCGATGTAATGCGCGACATTGGCATAGACGCCGGGATGTGTGGGTAGAGCACACGATCTGCCCCAGGAGACGACGCCATGGAGCTTACCACCACAGGTTAGGGGTCCACCCGAATCACCCTGACAGGCATCCTTGCCACCCTCACCACGCAGACCGGCACAGAGCATGCCAGGTGTAATTGAACCGCCCCCATAATCCTCGTCACACTGCTCATTGCCCACAATGGGCACATCGACTGCAAGCAACTGGTCTGATGCATCGCCTCCCGGTTGGGTTGTACCCCAGCCGGATATGGTGCTCATGTCTCCATCCTTGGGGGCCTCGGTGCCCAGCTCAATGACCTTCATTGTAAAGTTATTCAATGGCAACGGCGAACCCAAGACGAGCAGGGCAATATCATTGTCATATGTTGATGGATCGTATTTCTCGTGCATTATGATTTCGGAGACGGTAACAATGACGCCATCGATGGCGTTGCGATGACTGGTGCCGGCAACAACCTTAAATTGACTTGCCACATTGGCAATAACACAATGCGCCGCCGTCAAAATGTAATTCTCATTAATGATGGATCCGCCACAGTAATGAGTATAGGGATTCTTGGGTGCTGTGATTGCCTTGCGACGGAGCGATATCTGATATGGAAAATGTATCACATCTGTCGCATAGCCTCCCACAATGCGTCCATTGGGGGAGTCGTCCTGCAGAGGATGTGCCAGGGCAACGATCACAAGGCTCAAGCTCACTCCGAGCAGCAACAGATTCGCGTGTGCCATCTTCAACAATACCTAATAGACTGAAACAAGACCAAATAAAAATACACAATTCGATGGATTGTAAAGTCACCTACCTTATCGACGGGGCGGTCAGCGACGATTAGATCATTCAATAGGTGGCAATAAATTTTTTCACCGCACTATTCTTATGGCACCAAATCAGCTAAGCGTTCGCACAGTGACTCAAATCTATTGAAATCCTGCACAGAAATCATAATTGTAAGAATCTACATATTACATGTGCTGATAAACTATCAATCGTATTTTAATGCTGATCGGGTATATATCTATAGATCAAAGCTAGACAAGCATTGTTAATAATTTATTAAGAAACGGAAATATATTTATAAGAAATTCTTGAACGATTCTTACAGCCAAACGTTGAGTTAAATTATGTATATCGATATCGATAACAGCAATCGATAATTAGCTGATTAACACTATTTTAGTTTTGTGCCACTGTGCGTTGAACAGTTTCCATTTTGGCGTAAGCCGCTCGCTGCTCGGCAATCCAGCTGTGGAAATGGCTCGCTGAGGCATAGACACCGGGATAAGCTTCACGGGCACACCCCTCGGCCCAGGAGACAACGCCAACGACCTGGTTGTTAACGACAAGCGCTCCACCCGCATCACCGTTGCAGGCCTCCTTTCCCCCACCTGGAGCGGCAGCGCAGAGCATTGCATCCGTGATCGGCCGCCAGTCGTAGGCAGCTTGGCAATCCTTGCTGTCCACCACCGGTACTTGCACCTGTTGCAATCGTGCCGATGGCAAACCATCCTCTTTGGTAAATCCCCAACCGGACACGGTGGCCAGAGTGCCCACAGACGGCAACTCTTTGGCCACCTCAATTGTGCCGATCCTGCGATTGGTGTTCATTGGAAACGGTGGCGAGACAAAGATCAATGCAATATCATTATCCGTAATCGTTGCATTGTACAGTTCATGTGGCAATAGTTTCGTCACGCGTGACACGACACCACCATCCATGCCAGAGTGCAGATCAGTTCCAGCGACAACCATGAAATTCTCCTCATGCCGATTGTAGACACAATGAGCCGCTGTCAGCACGGTGCTCCCATCCAAGAGAGATCCACCACAGGTGTGAGCATAGGCACTCTTAACGCCATTGCGTCGATGTATAGAGACCTGGTAGCGTAAAGACAACACCGACGAATCATCACCACCAACGATTCGAGAGTCCGGATGCGAGATATCCGGACTACAGCTGCAGCTATTGCCCAGCAAAAGTATCACAGCAATTATTAGCGCAACCTTGTCCATTTCAAAGTTTAGTCAGAAGCAAACTAACAATTTTCTCGAATAAGTTAAGTGGTTAGTGGTATCAGCTCTGCTTTTTTTCAGGTAGCCCATAAATTGGCTTATTATTGGCTGATAAGCCAAATTGATAACGACCACAATACGCATTTTGTGCAGCAAAGTTCGCAGTTTCAATTAAACCATTGCTGTAATACTTGTATTAGTCATATTATTATAAACAATTTATACTTTCGATAATGTCTTTTGTGTAAATTAAAGCACAGTTATGAGCAAGCACATCGCAAATAATTGAACATTTTGAAGGCCCAGCTCTTTTAAATAAAAGGTACCGAAAAATGGGTCAAGGAAGAAACTAATGAATTGCTTATAGTAACGTAGATATGCAGGATAATTAGAAAAATAGCCGAGTTAAACGATCTTAGGTGTCCCGATTCAATCATATATTTATTTTTGTCTTTATTGTAGATGATTTATATAAAGCCTAAATTACAAGAACAACCTGTCGAAAATCCTCATTTTCTCGTTTAGAGTTATTAAAATCACTAACAACAAACAGCTGGAAATGGGAACACTCCCAAAGTGTTCAATTCAAAACTCATAAGAGAACCAACTTAACTAAGAGAATACTCTTTTTAAGCTCTCGAAAGCTCACTCTTTGCACGTGCTCATTTGAGTAAGAAGCTTAACAATCAATAAATGGATTGAATATTTGTGATAAGGAAACTTTTAATAGAGGTTTGTGTCTTGGTATCCCTTAGATCTATCCACTTTGAAAGCATTATCAAGTTTCGCATTTTATTTAAAGAATTTTAATATTTTCCCAGGGAATATCTTTTAGTAGACGCTTCAACTGATTATTGGCGAACTGTGGACTGCCGGAATCACACTGAGAGGCAATCTTCTTCCTCTTAGACAAGATCTTGATTTGCAAGACATACCATATTTATATGAAACAGAAACGTACTCACAATCCACAATGTGGTGGGATAAAAACAGACTTAAATATTTATTTACAACTTCAGCCAGTAACTATAGCAAAGTGCAGTAGTCTTAGCCAACTCGATCTTCAGATTCTGCTAAACTCCCCCCCGTCTCGAATAGATCTCCATGTATCGTAATTTTAATGGTAGCTCAAATTCTTGATCGAGACCCTCGCGCTCGAAGGGATTCTTTGCTAGCCTAACACGACCGGCCGAGGCACCAACCAAAACAACTGTCTCACAATATATTCAATCATTTATTTTGTTCTGTCTCATAATATTTTCAATCATTTATTTTGATTTATGGCTTCGCACAATTAGTTCGACCTTAAACATCAATCAAACCAGAATCATTTTAACAATCAATTATATTTTGCAAAACTAGAACATATCTGACCATCGTTATCTACCTTGTTCAGTTTATTATCTGTCAAAGGCACCGTTCGATATCAGTATACGTAATTTAAGTGATTTTTGGGTAAATCCAGGAAGTGAACACTCATAAGTTCCAATAACTTTTTATGGCATTATTGTCATATGTAGGCACTACAATAACTATTTTTTGTGCCATATCTAGGCTATCTAGGCTAGACTATCTCCTATAACCTATTGAGCTCAATTTCGCTATTCTGTTCTATTTTTTAAACACACCTTTTTGTCTGGCTTGTTGCCTTCAATAATATTTAGTAAATAAATGTGTGATTCGTTTAAAGGTTGAAGTGGATCAATTTCTTTGAGTTCCTTAAAATATAACCAGTTTTAATCTTCGCAAATTATTGTTTATCTAGCGCTTCATTGCAGATAGCTGAAATTTTCTAAAACTTTAATTAAGAACAGACTTATCAATAATAAATTATATTATAAATATTATTAAAAGTCTGGCATAAAACGGACGAAAACACAGGTGACAGGAGCTGTAAGTCTTTTATAACTTATATTATTGATTAAAAAAAAAGTGTCGCATTACTTTGATTGGAATGCTGTCAAATAATTTGAATGGTGCGATTCGAACACTTAACAATTGGGTTTTCCAGACGTGTGTCGCACTCTGTAACTGATTAGATAATTTTTGCACGTCAAATAGCACATCAATCCACAATATCTGAATAGCTGAAGAGTTTTTGGCATACACGCTTAACCAATCACTTGAGAACTGATTACAAATCATTTTAACTCATAATTCTACTGATGAGTTCTCTCGATAGGACATGGGCGTCATTGCCCCGATAAATAGCCCGGAATATATTTAAAATAAAATATAAATTAAAATATCTCACAGATCTGCTGATAGTACGACCAGGCAGCCATCCTTAGCACTTCATATTACTAATCTTAAACTTAAGTTTCTTAACTTCGTCAGAGTTCAGAGTCAGAGTTCGAACTCTAACCATCCCGAGTAGAAACAGCAGCAATAGCCCTGAAAATTGGGCATAATAATAATATAATATATATACTATGTAGGTCCGCAGTGCAAACTGTTATCAATAGTCTTAGCGAATTTTAAAAGTCATTGTTTTTTTTTCTTTATTTTTTTGGAATTGAATTTATTGGAAAAGTTTGGAACTTATAGCTTACAGCTCCCGGGCGGTGCTCTCAACCCAGCTGTGGAAGTGGGCAACATCGGCGTAGACACCGGGATAACCGGTAGCGGCGCAGCCTTTACCCCAGGAGACGACACCAACAAGACGACCACCAGAAACCAGTGGGCCACCAGAATCACCCTGGCAGGCATCCTTGTGCACAGCATAGGCACAGATCATGGTGTCCTTGATCTGGGAGCCATATTTGTACTCCTTGGAGGCACACTCTTCGCGATTAACGATTCTCAGATCGACAGCCAGCAGATGGTCGGGAATAGAGCCACCGGACTTGGTAGTGCCCCAGCCAGTGACGATGGCCTCGGCATCATTAGCAGGATTCTTCTCAGCAATGTCAATGGGGCGCACACTGGAGTCGAAACTGATCGAGGATTCCAGGCGAATGATGGCAATATCGTTGATCATGGTGCGCTTGTTGTAGCCCTCATGATTGCGGAAAGATTTCACGGAGTGAACGCTACCGCCCTCGCGCCAGTAGGTGGTACCCACACGCACCCTCAGATCCTTAGCGGAGACTGACTGCAGGCAGTGAGCGGCGGTGACAATAATATCATGCGAATAGACGGATCCACCGCAGAAGTGGGCACCATTGCGCTGCAGAGACACCTGATAGGGATGCGCCTCAATGCTCGTATCATAGCCACCAACAATGCGGCCATCCAACTGGGGCAACAGGCCCTCGGGCACAGTACCGGCCAAGACGCAGGCAGCCAACGAAATCAGAACCACAAACTTCAACATGCTTCAATCTTCTAATTGCCCTACGCTCCCACGCAACCTTTTTATAGCGAAACGCACTAGGTGCGTATTACTACACAAATGGCCGATAAGTCTCAGATCGACTGATCAGCAGTTAATTTTCTTTTGATTTAATCAAAAGGGAGAGATAAGTTGTGAGATAGCTAGCACTTAGCACTTGTTATGATAATGTACATGGTTAATTTCTCGGAATCACCATCTCCCAGAAATCCAATGTTGGATTTCATGTTTTTGATGCCGGTCGATATCTGAGAATTATAAAACTAAATCCTCTGCCTTGATCCCCTTAATTGATGCAACTAATAGCTAAGTTCAGGGTATGTTCTACTCGAGTTAGGTGTAGGGTATATTCTAGTCTAACTCTCTTTCTTACTTGTTTATAATGTTTTGCAAACAGAGTGTGCTCCATCAGGCTTCGACTAATCAAATACAATTTATCGCCTGGAATATATATACAATTATACGTATATATATTTATAAATAAAATATAATAAAAGGAAAAAAAAAATAATCCGAGTACTTTATTATGCGTTATCGCATAAGAAAGAAACCCACAAATAACTTATGCAAGTAAATAAGCCAGATATAGTATTAGATAAGGACTCAACTCTTTGTCAATATGCACTTGATATTTGTGTGAGATTTAATTTGATTATTATAATTCGCATTCTGAATGAATCTATTATGTAATTTAAGATTCCATTATTCAAAATCAGCATTTGCAGTCGGAATTTGTATCGCAATCCCCTAAATCTATTCGTTACATTTTCAAGTGTTTCTTATGTACTTCGCCGGATGTTATTGTCAAGCACTCTCCACTCTAGCGATAATTTTGATACCCTTACAGAGGGTTACTTGGACTATAGACGTCTTATTGCCGCATCAGGTGCATATGTTCAAGGCAGTTGAATCGGATCACGACATCATATAGCTGCCAGAGGAACTATCGGTTGAAGTTGAACTTTTGAATAAACCACTTTTTTGTTTACCTAGAACTACAGAGAAGCATAGATTTCATAGGAACAATTGGTCAGTTCTTAAATTTATAGTGAAATTTAGATGTCGCCGAGTAAAATACGGTCTGCAAGGCTTTGTAATCATAGTTGATATTTTCAGTTTTACTGTGTTGTAACACGTGATACGCTGGATTAGAAAGTATTCATACTTACAATGTCTGGAGTAATACTTACAAGTATCTGTAGAGATAGTGATAGTAGAATGATAATGGTTCCACTCGGATTCCTATATAAGCACGCTCATTTTCACAGAACCACATTCTACACTGAGCAATATGTTCAAGTTCGTGATCTTGTTGTCGGTTATTGCCTGCGCCTTTGGAGCTGCCCTCCCTGAGGGTCTCCTCCCCCAGTTGGATGGCCGCATTGTTGGTGGCGTTGCCACTAGCATCAGCAGCTTCCCCTGGCAGATCTCCCTCCAGCGTAATGGTGGCCACTCCTGCGGTGGTTCCGTCTACAACAACAGAATCATTGTGACTGCTGCTCATTGCCTTCAATCTGTGTCCACCTCCGTCCTGCAAGTGCGCGCCGGCTCCAGCTATTGGAGCTCTGGTGGCGTCGTAAGCAAGGTTGCCTCTTTCAGGAACCATCAGGGATACAACCCCAGCACCATGGTCAACGATATCGCTATCATCAAGTTGAGCTCATCCCTCTCCTACAGCGGTAACATCAAGGCTATCGCTCTGGCCACCTCTGCTCCCGGTAATGGCGCTGCTGCCTCCGTCTCTGGTTGGGGTACCCTGTCGTCAGGATCCAGCTCTATTCCCACTCAACTGCAGTACGTGAACGTGAACATTGTCAGCCAGTCTACTTGCGCTTCCGGATCTTACGGCTACGGTAGTCAGATCAAGAGCACCATGATCTGCGCCCGCGCCGCCGGCAAGGATTCGTGCCAGGGTGACTCTGGTGGCCCACTGGTTTCCGGTGGTCGGCTCGTCGGTGTTGTGTCTTGGGGCGCTGGCTGTGCCCTTGCCAGGTATCCCGGTGTCTACGCCGATGTCGCTGCCCTCCGCAGCTGGGTGGTGAACAACGCCAACTCCATCTAAAAATCTGCGTGCAATAAAACTTACATTGAACATCACTTTTCATTTTCATTTTCTGAACAAACAGTTCCAGATTCAAAAACCAATCTTAGTTGCGACTTTTGGTTTGGTACGGAAGAATTAACATCAGTAACCATTCAAGAAATTCTCTGATTTTCTATGGTTTTAATAATCTTTTAATACTTATGATTTTCCAGATTGTGATAATTGGAATTGGAATTTATTTAAATGGTTTCGCACTCGATGAGAAAGCATTGTCTTAATTTCGAAAATACGGCCAAAATATGGTAGTTCAGAATTTACCAAACTAACATTCCAATTGATCAATTTTAAAAATAGATTCTTAGCAATAGTAGAGTATTTTCTTCATTCTTTTACAGTTATAATTCTCTTAACAAAAACCACCTTGAGAAATTCAATATCAAAGAGTCTAAAAAGGAAAAAAAAAGCTTTATATAAATATAGGTGTTGATATGAAGATAGCTCACTTCGAAAACATAAGATACACATAAGCAGGGCTATCTGATTAGATTTGTAGATTCTTTAGTGAGGTTTTCCCACATTACGTTGGTGTCGAACAAATTGCGAAATCATCGTACAATTCTTGTAAAAAAATGGATTGACAGCTTTTGATTAGACAGTGGACAGTAGATACGTCGGACTGCTATAAAAGACGCCTACACTTCCAAGAGGTACACATTGTTAATTCAATATGTTGAAGTGCGTGATCTTGTTGTCGGTTGTTGCCTGCGCCTTTGGAGCTGCGCTCCCTGAGGGTCTCCTCCCCCAGTTGGATGGCCGCATTGTTGGTGGCGTTGCCACTAGCATCAGCAGCTTCCCCTGGCAGATCTCCCTTCAGCGTAATGGTGGCCACTCCTGCGGGGGTTCCATCTACAATTCCAAGTTCATCGTGACAGCTGCTCATTGCCTGCAATCTGTGTCCGCCTCCGTCCTGCAAGTGCGCGCCGGCTCCAGCTACTGGAACTCTGGTGGTGTCGTCAGCAAGGTCGCCTCCTTCAAGAATCACGAGGGATACAATGCCAACACAAAGGTCAACGATATCGCTATCATCAAGTTAAGCTCTACCCTGTCCTTCAGCGGTAACATCAAGGCTATCGATCTGGCCACCTCTGCTCCAGCTAATGGCGCTGCTGCCTCCGTCTCTGGTTGGGGTACCCAGTCTTCCGGATCCAGCTCTATTCCCAGTCAACTGCAGTACATCAATGTGAACATTGTCAGCCAGTCTGCTTGCGCTTCCGGATCTTACAGCTACGGTAGCAAGATCAAGAGCACAATGATCTGCGCCCGCGCCGCCGGCAAGGATTCGTGCCAGGGTGACTCTGGTGGCCCATTGGTATCCGGTGGTAGACTCGTCGGTGTTGTCTCATGGGGCAATGGCTGCGCTCTTGCCAACTATCCCGGTGTCTATGCCGATGTTGCTGTCCTCCGCAGCTGGGTGGTGAACAACGCCAAGTAAATCTAAGAACCTTGGCAAATAAATAAAGCACTTTAATTAATTTTCAACTACTTAACTGTACAAATTTATTAAATTGATTTTTTTTTTTTTTGTAGCAAATCCATGAATCCTTTTTACAAACTTTTTTCCATTGCTCGGAAAAGTATGCTCTAGAAATTCAATTAAAATTGTTTCTCATCTCACTGTGTGCAATGTAATTAGTCGATTGCCATATGCATATATGTATATAAAATGAATACCTTACGATATTACTTATTATTCCTTTCTTCAATTGAGAAATACCCAAACGGTGGAAAGAATTTTCCTCATCTAGTCTGGCCTTGGATCAGCGATTATGTAATTTAAATAAACCTTTAAACATTTTCGTTTTTAAACTAACGACGCGATGTGAAAGAAAATTTTAAAAAACGAGCTAACTGGCAACAAACACGTGAATATACATAAATCCATACATATATATGTATATGTATGTACATGCAATCGTAATGCGGTAACTGTGGTCTGCAGAATACACACAAGGACACATTGATGCTCGCGTCGATTACCATGTCATCTCTTTTTCACACATGCGCTCGCATATTTATGCATACAGAAAATGCTTGCGCCTACTGATAGAAATGATATGAATATGATAATATATTTTCGAAAATACCATAAGTCGTTCTTATCCGATCCTGATGAAATTTGGGCAGTTGATCAATAATATGCATATGCATATTATACATTAATTAGAAGACTCTGCCTTTAGAATTGTAGCATTTATTGCTATCGGAAATTTAAATGTATCGACAGCGAAAAACGGAGGCAGTTATCGACAAAATAAAGCAAACTTGATCTGCGTCTGGATACGAGAACCTATATTCCAAATTTGAAGTCTCTAGCTCTCTGAGATCTGCGTGTTCGTACAAACGGACGGACGGACAGACGGACATGGCTATATCGACTCGACTGTTGACCCTGATCAAGAATATATATACTTTAAGGGGTCGGAGATACTTCCTGCTGCCTGTTACATACATTTGCACAAAATCATTATACCCTTTTTACCCAGTTTTAATAGGTTCATGGTATAAAAATACAAAGAAAAAACAACAAAAAAAATACATATAGGTACTCATTATAATAATATCTGTACTCGTTGAATCCTCAGGTTATTATTTTTTATCAGTTTCTTGCTGATAAAATGAATTAAAAACTTTCGATTAGCTTGCATCGTGGAGATAATAGACACTGCAGACTGCTATAAAAGCCGCCTACAGTTCCAAGAGGGACACATTGTTAATTCAATATGTTCAAGTTCGTGATCTTGTTGTCGGTTGTTGCCTGCGCCTTTGGAGCTGCGCTCCCTGAGGGTCTCCTCCCCCAGTTGGATGGTCGCATTGTTGGCGGCACTGCCACTAGCATCAGCAGCTTCCCCTGGCAGATCTCCCTTCAGCGTAATGGTGGCCACTCCTGCGGTGGTTCCGTCTACAACAACAGAATCATTGTGACTGCTGCTCATTGCCTGCAATCTGTGTCCGCCTCCGTCTTGCAAGTGCGCGCCGGCTCCACCTACTGGAACTCTGGTGGTGTCGTCAGCAAGGTCACCTCCTTCAGGAACCACGGCGGATACAACGCCAACACCATGGTCAACGATATCGCTATCATCAAGTTGAGCTCATCCCTCTCCTACAGCGGTAACATCAAGGCTATCGATCTGGCCACCTCTGCTCCAGCTAATGGCGCTGCTGCCTCCGTCTCCGGTTGGGGTACCCAGTCTTCCGGATCCAGCTCTATTCCTGCTCAACTGCAGTACGTCAATGTGAACATTGTCAGCCAGTCTGTTTGCGCTTCCGGATCTTACAGCTACGGTAGTCAGATCAAGAGCACCATGATCTGCGCCCGCGCCACCGGCAAGGATGCGTGCCAGGGTGACTCTGGTGGCCCATTGGTTTCCGGTGGTAGACTCGTTGGTGTTGTCTCATGGGGCGTTGGCTGTGCTCTTGCCAACTATCCCGGTGTCTACGCCGATGTTGCTGTCCTCCGCAGCTGGGTTGTGGACAACGCCAACTCCATCTAAGAACATTTTTAAATAAATCAATGCTTTAACGACTAACTCGCACTTTATTGAACAAATCAGTTATTGCTATAGGGGCTGCTCTCTCACAGCTGAGTTCCAGAGACAATTCTTGGTGATTGCATTCCCCTTGTCTTGCTTGCTAATGGGCTGAAGATGAGCTGCATCATCAACGTCCCTATAAAAAATAATTAGCCGTTTATTTTTATAATTTTGCCACTCACTTGAACTCGTCTTAGCTTTGAGTGTTGTTAACTGCCCGAAGTTTTGCACCGCTGCAGGCAATTATCGCGCAGACGCATCAGGTCCTCAGGTGTAATGGGATCAGACATACCTGGCAACAAAATTTACTTGGCTTAGATTTTAGCTTTAAACATGCAATAGATACAAAATAGCAATATATTATATGCAATAGATTGCACCATAATTGCACATGCAACAAGTGTTCTTATGTTCCCAAAAGTCGTCGCCTTTAAATTATAGCATTCGATGATACGGCTGTGCTCAGCCCAATTACCCATGTGTATATGTCAATGTGGCCATCCTGCGTTCCTGGATACTTAAGACGGCAAATGAAGTATAAAAATTTGAATAAATTGTGGTTTATTATAAAATTGTTTGTAAATGAATGAATGAAGACAAATTTTAAAATTGCACGAAATTCAGTTTGGGAAAATCCTACAATCCAAAGCTAAGTGAAAATTCTAGAATAATAAATATATATAATTTTTTTTTTATGTTAAGGTTTTTAAATATATGTATGACGCGATGTGGAATTAATGTAAATACTCTGAGAAAAGTTTTTACCCAATTTTAATATGTACAACGTATTACTTGTTATAACAACTTAAAAAATACAAAGTTTATATTAGAAACAAAATCACATCCGCACAAAATAGGTACTCATAATAATCATATCTGCACTCGTTGAATCCTCAGGTTATTATTTTTCGATTTTTTTTATCAGTTCCTAACAAATTCACATTCAACGAATGGCAAGTTTCTGATAAAATGAATGGAAACTTTCGATTAGCTCAGATCGTGGAGATAATAGACACTTCGGACTGCTATAAAAGCCGCCTACAGTTCCAAGAGGGACACATTGTTAATTCAATATGTTCAAGTTCGTGATCTTGTTGTCGGTTGTTGCCTGCGCCTTTGGAGCTGCGCTCCCTGAGGGTCTCCTCCCCCAGTTGGATGGCCGCATTGTTGGTGGCGTTGCCACTAGCATCAGTAGCTTCCCCTGGCAGATCTCCCTCCAGCGTAATGGTGGCCATTCCTGCGGTGGTTCCGTCTACAACAACAGAATCATTGTGACTGCTGCTCATTGCCTGCAATCTGTGTCCGCCTCCGTCCTGCAAGTGCGCGCCGGCTCCAGCTACTGGAACTCTGGTGGTGTCGTCAGCAAGGTCACCTCCTTCAGGAACCACGCCGGATACAACGCCAACACCATGGTCAACGATATCGCTATCATCAAGTTGAGCTCATCCCTCGCCTACAGCGGTAACATCAAGGCTATCGCTCTGGCCACCTCTGCTCCAGCTAATGGCGCTGCTGCTTCCGTCTCTGGTTGGGGTACCCTGTCTTCCGGATCCAGCTCCACTCCTGCTCAACTGCAGTACGTCAATGTGAACATTGTCAGCCAGTCTGCTTGCGCTTCCGGATCTTACAGCTACGGTAGTCAGATCAAGAGCACCATGATCTGCGCCCGCGCCGCCGGCAAGGATTCGTGCCAGGGTGACTCTGGTGGCCCATTGGTTTCCGGTGGTAGACTCGTTGGTGTTGTCTCATGGGGCGTTGGCTGTGCTCTTGCCAACTATCCCGGTGTTTACGCCGATGTTGCTGTCCTTCGCAGCTGGGTGGTGGACAACGCCAACTCCATCTAAGAACATTTTTAAATAAAACAATGATTTAACGACTAACTCGCACTTTATTGAACAAATCAGTTATTGCTATGATGGCTACTCTCGGACAGCTGAGTTCCACAGACGATTCTTGGTGCTTGCATTCGCCTTGTCTTGCTTGCTAATGGGCTGAAGATGAGCAGCATCAACAATGTCCCTATAAAAAAAAAATTGACGCCATCAGCCGTTTATTTTTATAAATTTCCCACTCACTTGAACTCGTCGAAGCTTTGAGTGTTGTTAACTGCCCGAAGTTTTGCATCGTTGCGCAGCTGATAAAGCTCATCGTCGCGCAGCTGCTGCAGGCAATTATCGCGCAGACGCATCAGCTCCTCAGGTGTTATGGGATCAGACATGCTGCGCAACGAAATTTACTTGGCTTAGATTTTAACACTAAGTGAATATATCAATAATTGCAAATGTGACAAGTGTTGTGTTCCCAAATGTCGTCGCCAAGCACTATGGAGATGGAGCTGCAGTTGCTTACGATACAAATGTTCCAATGTTAACAAAAAAGCAAATTGTCACCAACGCCATAAATTATGATGTTGTTTGCTAAGCATACCTTTAATTAATAGAGATTCACAAGTTTGTCTTATTCAACAAAATGTCTGCTAACTTTGAAAATTAAATGTGTTTTTCTATTTTAGTAAAATGTTGACAAGATACGCTCGACGGTTGCTTACGAATTTAGTTTGTTTGTCGCTGGTCGCCTGGGTAACACACTCGAAATGGTGGCTTCGATAAGCCATTAGAAGGCGATTAACATTTACAGCTCTTGGGCAAGCGATAAGTTTTGCAATAATGCGCGACAAAAGTGGGTTCAGTTCCCATTTGGCTTTCATCGAGTATATGTATTTATATATATATAATGTCTTCCATTAACTGCAGCTTGTTGCTGCTGCTACTTTCCCTTCTGGGAGCAGCAATGGCAATGCCCACCAATCAGGAATTTGGACGCATTGTGGGTGGCACCGATTTGGCCATACATAATGCACCCTGGCAGGTGTCCATTCAGTTGAGCGCTCGTCACATTTGCGGCGGTAGCATCTACAGCAAGGACATCATCCTGACAGCGGCACACTGTGTAAAGGATAAATCTGTGACTCTATTGCAAGTGCGTGTGGGCTCCAATCGACACAATGCTGGCGGCACACTCATCCCAGTGGCTACCTACAAGCTACACGAGCACTTCGATCCATATCTCTTGCATTACGACATTGCCCTGCTGCGTCTGGCCACGCAGATCAGCTTCAGTCTCTCCGTTAAACCGATTGCATTGGCTGCAACGAGTCCTTCAGGTGGCAGCAGTGTCTTCGTCAGTGGTTGGGGCAACACGGAAGAAGAGAACACTGCCATTGGCACTGGTAAATACTCGAGTAGTTTGCAATTGGTGCAGCTGCAGATTATCGAGCGTGACGATTGCTCATCGGCCAAATACGGCTATGGCTGGGATTTTGTGGGACAGGAAATGATATGTGCTGCCACTGACAATAAGGATGCCTGCACTGGCGACTCGGGTGGTCCCCTGGTCTCCGCCAGTTTGCTGGCTGGCATTGTCTCCTGGGGCCACGGCTGTGCTCAGCCCAATTACCCAGGTGTCTATGTCAATGTGGCCGTCATGCGTTCCTGGATAATTAAGACGGCAAATGAAGTATAAAAATTTAATTTAAATTCTGGGCTATTACATTTTTTATAAAATAAAGTCTATATAAAACTGAACGAACACAAATTTTATAATCGCGCGAATTTCTAAACTAAAATGAGGCATATTTCAAGCTCCATCTACCATAATTTCTTTAAAACTCTTAAATAATAAATATATACATTGAATATTTGTGTTTATGTACATATTAATTATTCTTCTATAAATTTATAAAATATATATCTAAAAATAAATAAACGAATTTATAAAATAATAATTAAACATGCCGCTGATCGCCCCCCAGGTGGAATCGAACCACTTCGACGTTAATCGACTACGGATTTGAAGTCCGCACCCCGGACCACCGAAGCTCAGTGGGGCGGCAGTCCTCATTCTAAATAGGCGTATTTACGAGCACAAATGCGGGAAAAAGAACTTGGGAATTCTAAGTAAAATGTCATAACGATTGCAACATATTACAAATTACAACGAAGATATACACATTAAATTGTTTTTATTTATTTATTTAACTCGATGCGAAAATGCATGTGGAATGAAAAGTGTTAAACAAAAGTATTTAAAACAAATATTAGAGTAGCAAAAATATAAGGCATATTTAAATTAATCTCGCTCACAAAAGCAAACGAAATACAGTTACGAAGTCAGTGCTTGACGCAGAATCGGATCACTTGCGGGGCTGCTGTATCTGATGGATCTGCGGCTTCTGCTGAACAGCTGCTGGTGGCTTGTGCGAATGAGCCACCTGCGCACCAGCGGGCGTAAAATCTGTGTTACCCTTGACGGGTGCTCCGCTCACCGAACTAGAGTTCACATTCACCGGTTGCTGTGCCAAAAAAGTTATTAAAATGTATAGAATATAGTAGATATATATAAATTACCGTCAGTCCCGTGCAATCTTCAGCATCCTTGGCTGGGCGCTCGGAGGCGGGCGCCTTATGCTGCACTATACGCATTCCACCGGCCTTCACTGTAAATAAACATAATGACGTCATCAAACTGTCAAAAAAATAAACACGACTACGCAATAGATGACGATAGTACGTGCGTGTGTGCGTGTCTGCACTACTTGAGGTAAAAATTGATAAGATTAAAGACATTGGGGACCATTTGGAATGAATTGACAAAATAAGCTCTGCCAACGCGACACTTTAGCTCATCAATAATAACATAATTTGTAAACCAAAACAAAACATAATTTATCCGAAAAAAGACTTCACACAAACGTAGTCAGAAAGAGAAATAGTGATGAATCTAGCACTTACATGCAGGTGGGTGTCCAGCCACCAGATTGGGTTGTTCATCAGCCATTGTTAGTAGATAATAAGCTGAAAATATACCATATGTTACACATGATTGCCGACAATAATTGTGTTTACCAGCCACAACCTCTAATAAGGAAAAATTAATGAGAGCCTTCTTTTTTGCGTTCTACTTTGTGACACGAATGCAGTTTTGTTAGTGATGGGGAAAAGAAAGGCCGCACTTGTCAACAGCTCGCACGATCCGGCAACTCCACAAAACGTAAACAACAACAAACAGGTAGCAGCAAAACTAAATCACGATAAGCGTGCAAGTGCCTAAAGCATTTGATATAAAAAAGTACATAAAAATTGGGAGTAGCCATCGATGGCCACATGCCAAAGTAAAAATTAGTAAATACACCACAAAACACAAACAAGAGTAGACACTGCCGGTTCACTTTCCAATCTGGCAGCTCTGCAAAACATAAACAAAAAGCCAGTGGTGCTGCCAACTCAACTATCTATCGTAATGCTATAATAATCGAATGCAAAAATACTCATCCGGTTTATTTCATCAAAATTTGGTGTATTAAATAAGTTCAATTACTAGGCAATAAATTCCTAATTCCCATATACAAAATGAAAGACACAAAGGTAAATAGCATGATGTATGAGTGTGTGTATGTGTAAGCATTATACAATTACATCACAATTGTGGCAAGCAGCTTGACCTCAATTCAGCAAATGCGGCAACAATTTGGACTTCGATTAATTGTACTATTGCTGCTGCTTGCACGAATTTCAATTAGCGACAACAAAAACAACACACTCAAGTTGACCTTTCGCTTGCAGCCCTTTCCGCCGCTGAAGAATGATAATTTGTTGCGTGCCGCACGAGGCGAGGTCGTCGATCGTGTCCCTGTTTGGGTGATGCGCCAAGCCGGACGCTATTTGCCGGAATTTCAGGAGTTGCGCAAACAACACGATTTCTTTACGGTCTGCCGCACACCAGAACTGGCCTGCGAAGTGACAATGCAGCCGTTGCGTCGCTTTGATCTCGATGCCTCCATCATATTCTCGGACATATTGGTTATCCCACAGGCACTCGGCCTGACCGTGGAGATGCATGCCGGCGTTGGTCCCGTGTTGCCGCAACCCATTTGCACACCGGATGACCTGAAGCGTTTGACGCCGGACGGCGCTCTGTCGCGTTTGACCTATGTGGGCGATGCCATTACCATGATGCGGCATAAGTTGGATGGTCGTGTTCCGCTGATTGGGTTTACGGGCGCACCTTGGACTCTGATGGGCTATATGATCGAGGGTGGCGGCAGTAAGACTATGTCCAAGGCCAAGGCCTGGCTAACCGATTACCCAGAGGACACCAAACTCTTTTTGAATCTGATTACCGATGTAATTGTGGACTACTTGGAGATGCAGGTGATGGCTGGCGCTCAAATGTTACAGATCTTTGAGTCATCTGCCGAGCATCTGAGCAAGGAGGAGTTTTTGGTGTGGTCAACGCCCTATTTGCGTCGCATACGCAACGATCTGGTGGAGCGTCTCACCAAAAAGGCGGTGCCATTAGTGCCACTGGTGAGTCAAATTTGATCAATATGTCTAAATATAAATATATCTCATTATTTTCTGCATAGACAATTTTTGCCAAGGGCGCTGGCCATTCGCTCAAGGAGCAAAGTGAGCTGGGCTACGATGTCATTAGTCTGGATTATACGGTGGATCCGGTGGAAGCTCGTGCGCAGGTCGGACCAAATATAACACTACAGGGCAATCTCGATCCACAGGATATGTATCGTGAGCCTGGCGAGTTGCGCACTTTAACAACTGAAATGGTTCATAAATTTGGCAAATCGCGCTATATTGCCAATCTGGGGCATGGCATAACGCCACAGACGCCCATTGTCAGCATGGAGACACTCGTGGATGCAGTGCATCAAGCGTTATAAATAGCAATTAAATTGTAATGTTTTCTACATTATATTACTATATGTTAAGCACAACTTTTGGCCTTGGTTTAGGGTAATAAACTGTAAAACGTGGAAACTTAAAATATTTGAATTTAAATCGCAGTAATATGTTTGAAAGAAGTCGCTGGATTGAAAAATTATTATACGTTTTTTAATTAACTGATTTGAAACTCAAAAATAGTACACGAAAATATTTAATAATATGCATTTTTAAGCAGTATAATCAACATAATAATTTTAATTTATTAAATATAGGGTAGGTTTTCAGATTTGGCACCAAACATTATTTATGGAATGACAGACTCTGGCTCTGTTGCTCCTGCAGCAATTTGTCATAAATCATCAGGGTGCTGCCGCAACAAATGAGCAGTGTTCCAATGATGATCTCTTTGGCGAAATCACAATTAATACAAATTAAAGAACATGTATTTTCATATTTTATCGCCTACTCACTTTTGCCAGGCAGTTGCTCGCCGAGAAGATATCCAGTTATTGCTGTGAAAACAAAACTTAGCGAATTGCCGACTGGCACAGCAATTGTAATGTTTGCAGTTTGCAATGTCCACACGTAGAGCAGACTGCCGCACTGATTGAGCCCGAAGGGTATCCAATAATGCAGACGCGAAGCGATCATGCGAATCTCGGCGAGAAAATTTCGATATTTGGAGCCAGTGTCCTTGACGGACTCAATGCCCTGGCTCCCCAGGCGTATAAAAGGATTTGTAACGCCCCACAGTAGGCCAACTGTCAGCAATTGTACTGGAAGTAAGCAGAACAATTTAATTAAATAACATATTTTTACAATCAAAGAGTAATTTACTTGCAGTTGCCAGCATTGTTTATTTACATAGCAACAACAATCAGCTGTGGAGTCGGCTGTCATTTGTGCAGGGCTGCATACGTTGATTGTCCAACACTGAATTGTGGTCGCACTTTGACAGCACTACGCAGCTGTCAAACTCTTTTACGTCAAGCTTTCATTTCCCATAGGTTGGTTTTTGCCTATTACCCAAAATATAATCAAAAAACATCGCAATTTATGCCAAATTAAATGCAATGAAATCTATGAAAATGAATGCTGCACACGCAATGCGAAACGCGACAAGCGAAATGTTGCAACAGTGCCAGCGCTGTGTGTGTTTAAATGGCGTTTGAAAATTGCTCTGTTTTGATGGAACAAAATTGAGAGTTAAACTAAACGAATTGTTTTTTGGTTTATTAGGATTGAACAGCAATAGCAATAGCGATGGCAAAGACCAAGGGCGAGAAACGCAACAAGTCGGCGATCAACGAAGTTGTCACCCGCGAGTGCACCATCCATTTGGCCAAGCGTGTGCACAACATCGGCTTCAAGAAGCGTGCACCGCGCGCCATCAAAGAGATCCGCAAGTTTGCCGAGCGCGAGATGGGCACCAACGATGTCCGCATCGACACTCGCCTCAACAAGCACATCTGGTCCAAGGGTATCAGGTGAGTTCATTCAAATCTATATTTTATATTTCGAATTGCCATTTTGGTTCTAAATCTAATCTTTTATTTCTCCCCATCAGGTCAACGCCATTCCGCGTCCGTGTGCGTCTCGCGCGTCGCCGCAACGATGACGAGGACTCTCCCAACAAACTGTACACATTGGTTACGTTTGTGCCCGTGCCCACATTCAAGAATTTGCAAACGGAGACCGTTGAGTCTAGCGACGATTAAACAAAACTATAGAAATGAGAATCACACAACAAAAACAACTAAACAGTTTACGCCGCTAACGAAAATACGTTAATAAAAAGTAATTTTTATTTAGAAATAACAATAATGTTTCAACAATTTGTGTCTTGTGCGAACGCATCTGCTGGAAATTCGTTATAGAATCTGCAAGTTTAAAGTAGCTGCTTTTGTTTCTGTTTTAAAAATATGCAGAATTGTTTTCAAGTTAAATTGTGTCGGCAAATTGGCCACGTTGATCCAACTTAAGATACCAATCCGTCCGCAGTTGGTATTCGTATGGTGAGCTCTTACCCTAAAGGATTTAATCTTTCGAATCTTTTATTTTATTTTTGATGTATTTTGGTTTGCTTTCATTAAAATGCGAAGAGAGTGGTTTTAACTAATTTGGTTGACAATTTAATTATTCGATCTATTATGTACATAAATTTATCTTAAATTCTTTTGCACCTGAAGATAAGTTTGTAAAAAGTACTAGGATCTATCACGCCTTGTTGCCAATGGATGCGCAGGGATTGTGTCGATCAGACGTTGGCAACGCACAGCGACAGATCCTTGGATATATGTAGTTGTAGACGCGTTAACGGATGCAGACGAACCGATTCATCCAAATCAAATATTAGTGAGTGTTGTAAAGTGCATAGTCGATTTCCCATTGAGCAGCAACCGTTTTGACAGGCCTGCAAAATAACAAGGAAAAACAACAAAGTAAACACTCTGCTTGCGATAAGAAATTTAAATACCAGGCTAAAGCATAATGAAACATAAGAATAAAATGTGTTCTTTATTACCGGTTCTTTTATATACAAATATATATATATATATATACATATATATGTGATATGTATATATATATCTATCTAGTATACGCTACTACTACTACGAACTGTGATATAAGAAGAAGAAAAACAGATGAGCGATAAGGTTTCATTTGTCGACATTTAAAAGCCGCTTTGCAGCAATTTTAGTTTCATTTGGGAAGCAAAGACAGCGCAGTAGACGTAAATCAACTGATTAAGATGCTAAAGTCAGCGATTTGGCTGTTGTGGGTTGCAGCAATGCCCATGGTCATCCATTCCACATCCGCCAGTTGGGGCACCGCCCTCAAGCCAATTACAAACAGCAGCAGCGACACCATCACCCCAAACCCAAATCTGATAACTACAAGCCGTGGCTCTAGCACCAGGCCGAGTTACATTACAACTCTAACGGCTAAAAAAATGGAACAACTGCTGCCGATGGTCATCAACACGTGGAATATGTCGGAAGCCAATGAGATGGCCTGGCGCATTCTTCAGCAGTCGGAGGGAGGTGTGCGCCAGACCCGCAATGCTGTCGTCGAGGGTGTCACGAGGTGCGAGGAGTTGCAGTGTTTCCATTCCGTTGGCTATGGCGGGTCACCCGACGAACGAGGCGAGACGACCCTCGATGCTATGGTCATGGATGGGGGCCTCATGGATGTGGGCGCTGTGGGCGGATTGCGGAACATTAAGGAGGCTATACGTGTGGCGAGATTTGTGCTGGAGCACACATCGCACACACTTCTCGTGGGTCAGTCTGCAACGGACTTTGCCGTATCGATGGGTTTTCGCACCTCTTCCCTTGTGACGCCCTGGTCACATGACGAATGGGAGAAGTGGAAGGCGAAAAATTGCCAACCGAATTGCTGGCTCAATGTTAATCCCGATCCGAAGCTATCGTGTGGTCCCTATGTGCCCAAGGCGACGCCTCTGACACGCTGGAAGGAGGATCGGGCGCGAAACGAGTATGAGATTGGGGAAAATAATCACGATACCATCGGCATGATAGCAATCGATGTAGAGAACCAGATACATACGGGCACCTCGACCAATGGCATGACGCATAAGATACCCGGCCGTGTGGGTGATTCACCCATAGTGGGTGCCGGCAGTTATGCGGATAATGAAGTCGGTGCGGCTGTGGCCACGGGAGATGGCGATGTTATGATGCGTTTCCTGCCCTCGCTGCTCGCCGTCGAGGCAATGCGGAATGGCAAATCGCCCCAAGAAGCAGCCGAGTTGGGCATAAAACGCATTGCAAAATATTACAAGGATTTCATTGGCGCTGTCATCGCCGTGAATCGTTTGGGGCAATATGCAGCCGCCTGTTACGGCATACCGGAGTTCCCCTATATGATCAGCAATCCGACGCACACGGTCAGCGTGCAGACGGTCAAATGTTTACCGTATGTACATGTGGAGCCTTTGCCAAAAAGTTAGATATAATTCCAAAAAAATGTAATTGTCGCAGAACAAGAACACATATAAGGGAATAAACAAAATGATGGAATTATCTGTTTTCTATTTCGTTAGCTGGGATACGTCTTCTTCATCTCTGGCAAAAGCTGTAAATTTGCGATGCAATAAGATGAAGAATGATATTTTAATTATTTATTTAATATCATATAAATAATTTGTATAAGTCTGAAGCATATTTTATTAAAAATACTTTCATTCAGACGTACAACAATGTACATATTTTACAGCATCCATTAATAGGGCCTCAAAGTTTTGTGAACTGTGGTTCGACCAACAATATGGCATCGGCATTACCTAAAGCCAAGAACTGATGTTGCGTCGTGGGCAACTCCAAGGCGCTTATGAACTGTGCCTCTGGCAGTGTGCTCTCGCCGAGAATCTGCTGGAAGCCTGCCACGCCTTGTTGCTGATAGATGCGCAGAGATTGCGACGTTGAGGCGTTGGCAACGCATAGCAACAGATCCTTGGATTTGTGCAGTTTAACAAACATTAACTGACGCAGACGAACCGAGTCATCCAAGTCAAAGATTTGCTCCAGTTGGAAATTCACAGCGTGGCTATTGTCGGAACTGTAAAAGAAATAAATGAATATGTTTAAAATGCTTTTTAGCTGAAGTTCATCGCATGCCTGTAGATGTGAATGGAGGCAGCTGGAGATGCCGTCATGACGACCAAATAAAGGCGATTCTCATAGTGCGCCAAAGCCATTTGATCAGCCTGGATTAGTTGCAGGCGCTGTTGCAGCGTGCAGCTGTTTTCATTGTGCCACTGCCACAACTCTAGAACATTGGTACCAAGCAGCGCCAGCAGTGAACCGTTATCGTTCGGCGTTGACAACAACTGTTTTATTACATGTCCGGTTGACAATACAGCTTGTCGCCTGATTGTACTATTGATCCTATCATTTTCGTGGCAATAAATGATAACCTTTTTGCTTCCTTCCTGTAGCGCCCAACAATCGAGGGCACTTAGACGCAGGGGACCATGCAACGATGCATCCGCGGTGAGTGTTGAAAAGTGCACAGTCGCTTTGTCATGGGGCAGCATTCGTTTTGACAGGCCTGCAAGGAACAAAAGGAAAAATAACATAAAATAAGAACGGCGCTCGCTTCTATACTCTGTCATAAAAAATGTACAAATTAACGTATATATATATATACATATGTATGTATTTATAGCTCACTTTTATTATGAACAATATAATAAGTTTATCAAAAAACACACCCCTATGTTCATTAGGGTATAAGCACAAAAAAAAACAGATGAGTGATAAGGTTTCATTGGTTAGGCCTTGCAAATGCGACATTCAAAAACCGCATTCAAAACCGCGTCGCTGCGATTTTAGTTTAGTAGCAACACCAGCACCCCGAACTCAAATTTGATAACTTCAAGGACGAGTTATGTTACAAACACAACGGCAAAGAAAATGGAACAACTAGTGCCAAGGTGGGTTTAAGACGCATTGCAAAGTATTACAAGGACTTCAAGGTCGCTGTCACCGCCATGAATCGTTTGGGGCATTGTGCAGTCACCTGGTCACCTGCTATGGCAGGAAGGACTTCGCCTATGTTGTCAGCAATCCAGTCAGCGAATATTTTTTAGAATTCATTGAAAGGAATCTAATCCAAAATATGTTAAGCTAATTGCCATTATTACTTAACTCTGTGTTCTAACGACATTGTATAGTGAAAATCTAAAAAGGGATACCATTGTCTCGGCATGTGAAATTGTTTGTTCGAACAGCCGTCGGGAATAAACAAAAATATGGCATTTATTTGGTCTATCTCTGAGCAGTGTTGCGAAACGATAGACCAAGTGTCGCAAGGGTTGCATTTGCATTTAAATATGTTAAGTGCTGCTCACACGTTCAGTGTGCATGATGTACGACTGTATCCTTTAATATTTGCTTAATTTGAAGTTAAAAACGCATATATGTATTTATAGTTGCATTTCGTTAATATTAAATAAATGTACAATATTTTAAATAATTAATGTTAAGTACCTAGTGCAGTGTACGATTTAGCCATTTTGACGTGTTTGTCTGCTCGTGGCTAGACCACCTAAATATTTTCCGCCAAATCAGCGTCGCAGCCGACGCCGTCGCATACGTGAAAAAGGCGAAGTTGCAAAACGAAGCAGAAGCTGCACAAACATTAGCGAAAAAAAGGGCGCCGAAGCCTAAGTTAAGTGAAAAAGTGTGTGTGTGAAGAAAAGCCGTCAAAATTCAGAAAAACGCCGCGCAAACCGTTGGCCGCAAGTCACTGACTAAAATGGCTATACAGCTGGACAAGATTTTGGCGGACATTGCCAAGGAAAAAGCGTTGCATCCGAATAATGCCAGCGCGAGCAAACAAGAGCAGGACGACGCCTGGGCGCGCATTGGCCGCCTCAACAAGCTGACCGTGCACGAGTCGCGCTCCATTTTCATAGTGCTACAAAAGAAATACGAACAGGAGAAACTAAAAGGCAACTCCGGCTGGAAGCTATTCGGGCTCATGCAGAAAATCCATCAGGAGCCCAAGGCCGCCATCAAAGTGGAGGAGTAAGTATAAAAAAAATCGAATTACATCTAAAATTTATAAATAAATATATATTATGTGTTAAGTGAGTCATTGCCCATGGAGGATGTGGAAGAGTATGAAATGCTGGAGGTGCAGGAGCAGGAGGAGGAGGATGAGGCAACTACCACGACACAGGAATACGTGCAGAAATCAAATTCCACCGGCTCGGCCAGCTCCGATGGCGATAGTCCAACAAAATCAAGCAGCACCGGCGGCGGCACACCCGAAAAGGAGGAGAAATCCCATCATGCCAACAAGCCAAATGTTGACACACCGCGTCCAGCATTCGAGGAGAAGAAACTGCTAAACACAATGGCCAGTAATCCGCAACGATCGTGCGGGCAACAGGCGAGCGCTGTTTCTGTGGCGGCAGCAGCGCTGCAAAAGAAGGGCATCACATTGAAAAAGACACCGAGTGGTGCTTTTGGCCACAAATCGCCGGCAACAATAGCAGCTGCGTCTCAACTGCAACAGCATAAGATGGCACACTCTGCACGCACCACCATCCAACTGCCAGAGTCGGTGAAACGTAAATTGTCCGATGAATGCGCCAGTTTGCCGTCAGTGCAAAAGAAGCTGCAGAAGACGCAGACAAGTCCCAAGCAAATGGCCACAGCATCCACATCCACAGAGGCGCCAACACCCACAACTAGCAATGTGGTGCACACGACTACCGCCCAACTGTTGCAGGTGAAGAAGGAGCGCGAGAGCAATCAATCACCACCGCCGGGCATTAATATCATAACTATACCACCCTCACAACAGCTCAATGGCAATTTGGTGGGTGGTGCTGGTGGTGGTGGTGCGAACTCTTCTACGGCTGCCACAATTGCAACCACATCGATGGCCAGCACCAATGGGTATTCGCCGCACATGGACGAGCTCAATGAGATCATCTTTGATTCGTCGAAGGTGAATGCGGGCTCCCACAACACCGCCGAGATTATCAATTTAGGAAACTATGATAATTCGCTGCCGCCGACATTCTTCAAGAATCTATGCAACTCGAAGCGCCACGAGGCACTCGGCCTCTATGTGGCCAATGTGATGAATCGAATCTCACAACGTGCAGCTGCCAAACTGGAGCTGGGCATCCTACGCGCCATTGTCGATGTGCAAAGCGATGAGTTGGAGCACTAAGCCAACCAACCAAGCCGATCAAAATCCCCTAGAGCTAGAGACAAAACGTAGACGACAACCAACATTTTGTGTGGTTTTAATATGACATTATTGCAAGGCTGCAAGTTTACACGAGTTTTTAGCAATGGTTTACATGTTCAAGTATTTCATGATATTTTAGTCCCATTTCAAAAGTACAAACTTATATTTTAGCTGTTTTTTTTTCTTTTTACAAGATTTTAATACGAAAACTTTTGAGATTATTGATTATAGCTGCTCAGTTTAACTTAAAGCAATATCTATTTATTGAATTAGCAGTATATTTTTATTACTTTAAACTTTAAAACGTTTTATTTGCGACTTGATATTTGAAACGTGTAAACCTAGACCGGCAGCTAAATTATATCTACTCTACTTGATTTCGTAAAAAAGACTATATAATATATATATAAGACAGCATTATTTAATTGCAAAATAGTATTTAAAGAACTCGTGTAAACGCCGGATTTCAATTGCAACATAATATTGATGTATTTTAAGAAAATTTCCTACGTTTATGCAATGAGCCAATATCGTATTGATGTTCGAATTTAATCTACAACTTTTAATGATTATATGTTTATCAAAAAATACGCATAAAACGCGCATCGTGTAAACGTAGAAATTACCAACAAGAATTCATCATCAAACTCAAAATTCATCCATTCATCATTTTAGTTGATAAGCTCAAATCACATTTAAATTATATGATAAATAAAGACGCATTATATCCACTTACTTGCATTGTACTCAAACTGCTCCAACTGAGCTTGCCACACATATCTCTCAACGTGTTGCACGCCCCGCTTATCAGTGTGCCAAATGCCCAACACATCCTGTTTTAAATCCTGATCGTAAAGCGTTTTCAATTGGCTCACATTAAAAGGAAATTGTTGCAGCACTGCAAAGTTTTTTAGTATATAGGCGGGTTCTGTCAAAGAATTTGGTTAATTAATATGAATTCAACATTTAATGCAGATGCAGAATTTAATACGACTCTCTTCACTCACCTGCCAAACGCTGCTGCACTGCAGCCACATGTTCAGCCAGCTGCTGCCAATCTTCAAGGGAATTTTTGCCCTTGCTCACACCGCGTTTCCACTTATATCCCGCCGTGGGTTCAAAGTTGGCCAAGCTCAGCGGTTGGGCGAAGATCAACTGACTTGCCACATGCAGATTGGGACGATTATGTGCTTTATTCTCGAGCAGCTCATTTACATTGAGTCCATTTATGCGATCCACCCATAGCTCCTCAATGTTGCTACTTAGAATTCTATGCTGTTCTGGCAACGCATTCTCAATCAGCAAAGAGCCTGCCAATTGCTGATCCTTATCGCATAGCATTAGTTGATCCGGTTGCCAATGGATCCCATTAACCGGACCCACAACACGCAGATCGTTGTAGAGATTAAGCGTTTCAAGGATTGTAGTGCCAGCAATGCTGTGATTGCCGTAAATATAAACCGTATTGTTGATCCACTGTGCCACGGGCACATTGCACACTGTGCTTGTAGGCGTGGCAAAGAGGCGTTTGATAATGGCACTCGTCGCTGTTTTGGGTGCATTTATTAAAGTAACACCTTTGGTATCGTTGCGTAAAACGTCATCAACCAAATTTAATTGATTTATAAGCACATTATTTAAATCGCCTGGTACATGGGCTTCATGTATGCTCCAGTGTCCCGTTACATTGTGTTCGCCGGCAGTTTTCAATGTATTTGCCACAAAATCGTCAAAATTTAGCGAAAAATTCCTATTAAATTCATTAAAAAACAAAAATGTAATTCCCAATTTTAATAATAACCGCCAAAAATACGGTCACTCTTCGTACTATTGAAAAGTGTGTCGATAGTTCGATATATGTAAGTGTCATCTTTTGTGTAGCAGCCCTGGGAGCGTTGTCACTTTAATGTTTTTCTTCTGGTGAAGTGTTGAAACTCCGAAAACGGCTGCAGGCCCGTAGAAAGTGCATTTAAATTAACAAAAAAACAAAGAAACAACGCCCAACAAATACGAGGTAAAGTCTATATGAAATCTTAAGAAATCACAATTTACGAGTGAAATGTACTGAAATTTCACCTGCAAACAGTAGCGCGCACAGCTGATTTAACCAAGTGCGTATGTGTGTGTGTGTGTCACACAGTTGACGGGGGTGTTGACTGTGTGTGTGCTGGTGGCCCAGTGGCTGTCGAACTGTTTTTAGCGCGTAAACAAATGTGCAGTGAAACTCGATACCGAATTACAGTTGAAACGCTTTTACAGCTTTTACCACTTACCCAATGCCCTCAACAAGTGCGCCATCTTTGACACGTAGCTGTACCCGTTGTGCGGCTAGCGTTTGAGCAAAAGTGACGTCATGGTCAAAATACAACGGCACATTAAGATGCTGGCTGCGAGTACAGCTAAAATAATCGCCGCCAATATGATTCACATCCAGGCCATTCAAAGTGCCCTGTTGCAAGTAAATATTGCAAAAGTTGCTTTTTGATTTACAGTTTCTCTTCTCAGCTCTCAGCTCTCTCACCTCAAACTCCAGCAGTCCCTCAAAGCTGGCCGAATCGAGTTGTGCAGCTTTCAGTTGCACCAACTCATTGTCCAGCCATAGTTTGTCCAGCAGCGTTTGTAACTGGCGTCCATTGAGCTGCTCAAATTGCGGCGGCGCCTCAAACTCGGCATGCTCCACATGCAGCGTGTCCAGCGCAGAGTCTTCTCTCAGATACTGCGCAAGTGCATCCAGCTGAAATCCATTTAAAGCACTCACATTGCATTGATCTATGGCTACCACCAGCTGACCATTGATCTTCATAGGCGCTTGCAGCATGCCACCTCCTTGGGCATATAGCATATCCTCCGGCACACGCAAGCCATTTAGACGACCCACGCTAAGTGAGTCTTGAAGCACTATGGGATTCACTGAAAAGGGATAAATTGTAGATTGAAGTGGATATTATTAAGATCATAACTTATATTTTCCATTATTTATCTAATAATGAATCGCAATCTTTATGTTAATTTATTTACTCACCAAATTTGACAGCTGGCAACTGCTCGGTTCCATTTAACCTATAGCTACCGTTGACCAGCTTCTCCAGCGTATAATTATTCAGTCGTCCCTGCAGCACCACATCCTGATCACTTGCAACCGCTGCCAGTGTTTGCGGTGCTGTAAATTGCTGCTGCCCGCTGCTCTCCAGCCAGCAGTGTCCAAACCGGTGTGCCTCAATGCCATTCAAACTGATGCCGAAGTGGAGTCCAGTAATGTTCATCGGCTGGCGAAAAGTAAAGTCGCCCACATATTTAATATTCCCCGCCAATTGTTGCAGCTGTTGCTCCAACTGTGCCACACTTGCATCGTTCAAATGCCCCTTTAACCACATATTTCTCGCCTGTATTGTCCCGTTGAAGTTCTCCGGCAATTGCCAACTGTGCGCTCTTTGTGTGCCCTGCGCGCTAAGCTCCTCCAAAGTGTGGCCAAAAATAGTGCCATGCAGGAGTAAGTCGATCACCTGCAGCTCCTCCACCTGCAACTGCTCTACATAGAGACTGGAATTTGAACGCTGATCTCCACTCTTTCTCAGATATTGCTCCAATTCCACTCCGTTCAGCAGCAATTTCGTGGCATTTATTTGTGGCGCCTGCAATCCGCCGAGTTGCATGGGAAATGCAAAGGTTTGATTGCCACTTTTAAGCAGCAGCTGCTTGGACAACTTCTCCACATTGACACCATTAAGAATATTAACTTCAGCGAAGCCTTGGCTAACTGTTAGGCTTTGTGGCAGCCACTTGGCGCCCTCAACAAACTGTACCTCGTCCACATTTAGTTGAACCAGAAACTGTAAATCCTGCGCATTGATGAAGCTCAGCTTAGTGTCATTCGCGCTCAGCGGTTGCTCAAATCGAAGATTAATGTTCTCCAATGGTTGATTCACTCTCAGTGCTTGCTGCAATGTGGCGGCTGCTGATCTTTGTGTGCTGGCCTCTATCAAATCCTGCACTTGCAATAGTTGACCTATGGTCACATCGCCATCGATCACATAGTCACCTTGCAGTTCCAGCGACTGATGGGTCACCTTCATCGGCGACATGGCGATCAGCTCGGAGCCTAACAATTGACCCTGCAATCAGTTGAGAAATTTTGGTAGAAGTTAGAGTCAAAAGAGATTTTGGGATGGGACAAATCTTTCCAAAGACATAACTTTGTTAAAGGGACTTTTGATCATAATTTGGTCTCTGGGAAAAGACAATATTCCAAGTTGAAAACGCGATTTTTATCTTGGTTTGACCTCTAAAAAAAAGTACTATAATTGAAATAATAGTATTTTTTATGGAGCCACAACTTAAATAACTTTAATGAGTAGTGTAACCGTAACTATTACAATATTTTTAATAGAGGTTATTTAATTAAATGTGTAGTAATTAGCTCAAGGCTTTTGCACTCACCGCAATGGTAATGGGTTCAAGCACACGTATATTCTCGAAACGCTTGACACCCTCGATGACCTGGGTGTGATTCGCTTGATGGAGCAGCACATCAAAGCGCTGGCGATCTACGTGAATGTGATTCAGGCGCTGATTGATGACCAGTCGATTCACTTCGATGGGTTGGGCGAACTGCACATCCTGCTGCACAATGTAGTCGCCACCATCGATTGAGATAAGTTGACTCAAAGGTCGATCGTTGATCTCATTGCCGTTAACCAGCACAGCCTCCGCTCTCAAATTGCTGATGTCCACCGGAGATTTGATGAACTGCACCTCACTGCCACGACGCTTGAGTGTTTGCTCCAACAGCTCGGTCCAGTTGTGACCGTTGAGCTTGCCCTCCAATTGCAGATCTTGCACGCTGAGCTGCTCCATTTGGGGCAGCAGTTGTTCAGATGCCGCCTCTTTGTACTCCTCACTTACATACACTTTGCTGGCACTGATCGACTCGTAAACCGGTTGCTCCCTATTGACGCCGTTGATGTGCTGAGCTTGCAGCTTCTCATGCACCACCAGGGTGCCGACTGTAATCTCATCGAATTCATGCTGATCCTCGACTGCACGCTTTGCTGGACGACGCTGAGCCCGTGCTGCATCCAGTTCAATCACATCCAAGGCGCGTTTTGCATAGCGCAACGCATCCCAATAATTTGTGGTTAGCTTCTGATGCGGGTCGACTAGCTGTGTATTAAGTTAAGTTGGGTTCGGATTAGGTTTCATAAGTATATTTCAAGTTTATTTCTAGAAACTAGAGTTTTTCTCTTCTTAATTTCAGTCTACATTTCACTCACCGCTTTGGCATTCACGAGTTTTATGTGCATTCGCTTTAAATGTTTTTGCGTTTCCTCAAGTTTTTGCTGTGGAAACAAAATTTGATTAATAAGCCTACAGAATTGAGTGAACTTTAGACTGACCTTTAAATTCTGCACCAATTGATCCACATTGATCTGCTCCAATCTCTTGCGCTGTTCGCGTGCCCATTCAATGATTTGCTGCCGCAGGACATTGGCGTGTTCGTCCTGTTTGTAGAGTGGCTGGAATATGTTTGTCTCATTGGCGGCCATATTCTCATTGGCTATAACTGTGACAAGAAGTTGGCTTAGTCTTTAATTCTTTGTTAAGACCATGAGAGACTCACCCAAGTAGCTTTGCTCATTCTCCTCGTAGCTGCGCATGCGTGCCACGCCCCTGCTGAATGCGCCCTCGGTGAACTGTACTGTGGATTCCTCGAATTTCCAATCGTTTAGATTATATATTTTCACATCCTGCTTGCTGCAGACCACAAAGAGTAGGAATTTTTCCGATATCGAGTGCTACAAGTGGGAAATTGTGATTTCAAATTATAATGCTTATTGCTGATGGTGGGAAAAATTTGTGCAAATTAATGCGGCTTTGGGGTTGCATATATTAGTATTAATTTAAGTTCAATATTTAATTAAATTATTTTAAACTTGTAATTATAAATTCTGAATTTGACTTGCTGTGCAAATCTCTAGAATTAAAAATAATTCGTGATTTGAATTGGCATGCAAAGGTTGCGTGTAAACTTGCATTCATTTCAAGATTTCGTACAATTTTTCTAATTTTGCACTCTATGCAATATGGTTTAATTGCTCTATTTGTAAGCAGTTCACAGTTGAAGGTTAACTCACCGTCACGGGCAAAAAGCGTTCCAGGGCATCGAAGCTCAAACGTTGATAAGGCACAAACTGTCCATTATCGAAGACATAGATCACGGTGTCCGCCTCACCAGCTTGGCTAGCAGCTGCTCTCGCAGATCCCACCGAATTGCCGAGTATGAGAAAATGTCGACGACTCACCTCATTCACCGGCAGACTGAAATACTTGATATCGACGGCACCGTTGCTCCTCAAACGTTGAAAGAGTTGAAAGCGCCGTGCTTGGGCATCGTATCTATAGATCTCTGAGTGGGTGGAGGTGCGTCCATCGGCACTGGCATAATTGGCAACTGCCACATAATCGGCATAATCAATGCCAAATGCCTCCAAGCGGCGAGCATTGCTGCAGGGTATCGAGCCAAGCTGCTGGAAGGTGGCGCCCGTCCACTTGAAGTAGGGACAACGTTGCTGTTTCTTTGTGTCGCCGCCATCGTAGGCATGCAGCAGCGTCAGCTCCTGGCTGCTAATCCTCAAATACATGCTACGTAGCCGTTGACCCGCAAAATATTGTACGGTGCGCAAACCACGCTCGGCTGACAGTTCGAAGATGGGTGAACCCTCGCGTGCCTGCCGCACGGGCTCTGTGTGATTCAGGCTTAGTGCTACAAAGCCAAGTCCTGCATATGCCAGGCAGTCGAGGGCCACAGCCTTGGGCGCTGGCTGTTGCAGCAACAGCGCATAATCCTGTTCCCTTGCACGCCAAATGTAGACCGCAAACTGATGCACTCCTGCCGTATCCTTGTGCAGCGTGGTTGCATACTTCACCGTGGGCAACTGTAGCATGCAAATGTCCAGGGGAAAGGGCACCGGAACAGAAGCAACGCGAACCAGGCCATCGAAACTGTAACCAGCTGGAAGTAGTAAAAAAACAAAGCTTTTGTGAAGGCTTGTTAAGGTTACAAACTCTTTATGAGTTTTATGAGGCTCTCAAGTAGATAGCCCGAGACTAAGGCAAACAATTCTTTAAAACTTGTATTTTGTTGTCTTGTGTAACACCTTTATCGAAAAATTGCTGCATTTCACGCTTATGCAGACGCTGCTCAGTTTCGGCGTCAAAATCCGAGGAGATGTGGTAGCTTGGTAGCGTTTCCTGGAAACGCACCTCGAAACCATATCCATGTTTCCAGAGCAGAAATATTAATATAAACATGAAACGACACATTTCAATTAATTAGACGAAACTTAACACGTGCAACGTATTCAAACAAAGAAACCGTACACTAAATTAAAAAGCTTCGAAGAAGCTTTTCAAACCGTTTCGAAAACACGAGGAAGACCCAAAACAGGAATGAGAAAGAGTGAGAGAGGAAGAGCGAATCAATTGTGGACTTAGCACGATCAGCTGATCAGCAGGCACACTACAAAGCACAGAGTCTATAAGTTTCTACATTGTAAAAGACCAGTTAATCATATCAAGATATCTTTATTATAACTCGCTTAATCAGAACTCCGTTGAATTTCCATATAATTAATCACCTATATTCGAACATGATCATGATAATTATATTAATCCATGAATTTATTCTTTATCTGTTGAATCTAAATCTGCTTTTCGAATGCTTTGCTTTGCTTCGTAGCTTTGTCGGGAATTGCAGTAGTTCTGTACACTCTTAACATTATTTTTCTCTGTAGTCTCGGTTCTCGTTCCACTTCTGTTTGAGTTTTTGTCAGGCTCTCCCGTAAACAGCCCGAGACTAAACCAAAAAACTCTTTCCCAATTTTCGGCAGCCGATTGTTTGAAGAATGGATCTCCAGGCCTATTGCCGCTGTCTACGTCAGCAGCTGGAGGAGTTGGAGCTGCTCGAATCCATATACTATGGTCCTCGCGAGCTGCAGCTGCTCGATGCCAGCGTCGTTGCCGATTTCAATGAGTTTGTGCGTTCAGAGTCGCAGACACCTCTTCGCTCGCATCTTGAGTACATCATCAAGTTGAGTTTGCCGTGCAAGAGTTCTGTGGATGTGCGCGTTGAGCTGCCGCATTTGTATCCGCTGCTGGAGCTGGCCAGGATTAGTGTACACAGCGCACTGCTGGACAAGGCCAATACGGAGCATCTCAAGCAGCAAATCGAGAACTATTTGGCAAAGCAACGCAGCGATCCAGGGGAACCTTATATATATCAATTGCTCATCTGGCTGCAGGAGCAAATTGAAACTCTGTTATTACGTCCAGCCAGCGAGCTGCCTGCTGTGCCCGAGGAGCAACCCAAAGTGGTGCAGCTCGAGCGCCTTTGGATCTACTCGCATCACATTAAGTCGAGTTCCAAGCGACAGGAGTTGATACGTCAAGCACGACAACTGCAACTCAGCGGCTTTAGTCGTCCCGGGAAGCCGGGTATTATCTGTGTCGAGGGCGAGCAGGAGCAGGTGCAGGAATACTGGCGCTCCATTAGGGCCTTACGCTGGCAGAAGATCAGCTTGGTGCGTACAGAACTGTGTCGCAAGCGTCGCTTTGAGCAGTTTACGGAGCAGCTCTTCAATGATGGCACTGACGGCGATGAGGGACCCATTAATATGGCACAGTTTATCAAGTTTTTGGAGGCCCATGGCACGGGCTATATGAAGTCGGAGTTCTTTGGTTTCACGTGATAATGAAAATGGTTTCATATCTGTTGTCATTTGCCATTGTTTATTATTCTTTCTTTGTGTTGTGTAATGCTATTTGAGCTTTACCAATAACATTATATACCGTAATGTCAATGTAATGTGAAGACCCTCCTAAAATTAATATGAAGACTTTTCGATAAATGTTCTGATTAATGTGAAGACTCTTTGATAAATATTGTGGTCCTCAAATATAAAATACAATTTTTGGAACAAAACGAAATATTTATATAATTAGATCTTAAGGCCAAGAACAATTTTATTCCTTTTCGGGATGATTTAAATTGATTTCATCCCGTTCAGAGGGATAAATATATGTAAACACTACAAAATGTGTTTTAAATGAATAAATAAATACATTTTAAATGTCAGAAATTTGTTAAAGTATTGGAATATTCAATTAATGACCTGCCATTTTGGTAGTGTAATATATTTATAATGTAGACTTTAAATGAAACCCTCTCCATCGATCTGTGCCACCAAAGTGTCTTCGACACTACCATCCAAGTTGGATGTTTCCTGCAGTCTTTTTGTTTCCGCAGTCGCAGACTGTGATATTTCCTTGGCGCAGCTCTTCTCTGCATTTGCATTTGCTTCTGTTTGTTTGTTGTTCTTGTTCTTCTTGATGAAATCACAATAGCAACAATGATGAACGCGATTCCCTTTGGCTCTTCGACGTTTCACACAAGACATCTCGGCATAGGCACGTCTGAAGTTCTCGTTGTTGAAGCCATAGATAAGGGGATTGACGGCGGCATTGACAAACATTAGGTATTGCGAAAAGTATGAAAAGTACTGCATTGCACTATCCACGCTGACCTCGGTGTTATAATACTTTTCGCGCAACACCACGAAAATGGTGAAGGGCAAACGCAGCACCCCAAAAACAATAACCACAATGAACAGGGTTTTAGCCACACTGCGCTTATAATTAACACTCAGCGGATTTTCACGGCTTAAAACGCGCTTTTCATAGCGATCAAGCTGGGAATTAAATTTGATTATAGAAATAAGATAGATATATTTAAACTCTTCTCTCACCTTGATGAAAATGGCCGTATAACAAATGAGCATAATGCCCAAGGGCAACCAAACTAATACCGTGATCAGCACATACCAATATTTGGGCAGGACATTTATGTTCTCCTTGCAATAGCGCTCCGTAAAATTACGCCATACACGCACCCTATAATCCCGATATATAGCTAGGGGCAGTGCAAGTAGAACTCCTGCCAGCCAAGTGCAAAAAATTACAATCTTTGCGGCACGCAGCGTTAAACGCTTCTCCAGTGGCAGGACAATAGCTGTAAGACGATCGTAACTAACCACGGAAAGATTCAAAACGGCTGTTATAAGGAATACAACCACCACAAAACCCTCCATCTTGCAGCCCACATAGCCTAACTGATAATTCTGATAGAAATCATTGATCATGAACATAGTCGGACATATGAGTAGTGTGAGACAATCAGCCACTGCCATATTGGCCACAATTAAATTGGTTGGCGTGCGCAGCGTACGATTTGCGGCTATTAAATAGATCATAACCGAATTGCCGTAAAGGCCAAATATAATTAGTGGCAGGAAGGAGCACACTTTCCACGCAATCTCCCCACTCGGTATACGCAACCAAATGCGATCCTCCGGAAAATCCCATTGACTAAAATCGAACTGAAAGAAAGTCAAAGATATAATGCCTATAATTCTGTATTTAATATGCAATATGCTACTCACGTCCATACTATTAAAATTATATGCCCTTTTTTAACTCCTTTTTCAGTCTATGGCTGCAGCGCAACTGACTTGGTCAGCTGCCAGTTGAATTCCAGTTAACATGCAAATTAACATTTTTATTGATCTCCCATCTAATTCACTTAACTGATAGATAAGGCTATTAACACTTGTCACTGATATCGCACACTAAAAGCTTCTGAATTTGACGCTTTTTGTTTACCACTCGTAATGCCCATCTGTTGGGTTGTCAATAGGGCGCCGCCTCTCTTTGCGCTTCTCAAACAAGCATAATATTTATTAGTTTCCTGATAACTGAAATAGTGCCTTTTGTGGTTATTGTTTTGATTCTCTTTTTCAAAGTTATATATTTTATAATTTGGATTTTTGACAATCAGAATAATTTGAGAATTGAAATTACATTTTATAAATTAATAAAATAAATGAAATTAATAGATTTAGTTTATTTGTATGTATGATATTTAAAAAATGCGCACTAGAATCATCTAAGTTTTCTAATTTTCGAGGTTTCACTGTATTCATTACACTTCCCTTTTACAATTCAACTTAGGGCAAATATACGGGCTCTATTCAGATGATCTATCTAGCATTTTAATCTTTGCATCTCACATATAATTAAATTTTAAGTTATGTCAATTTAGAGATCTTCTTTCCCTTCAATGTCGGTTTGTCAATGTGAGCAAATCTAATCGATGTCCAATTTGCGGAAGGAGCCCTCAATGCCGAACAGGGTGTCGGGAGTTAGGTGTTTGCCGGGTCTCAGCTGCTCGTTGACGCCGTAGTTCATCTCATCCTTTAAGTAGTCGTTATAGCTAAGCATCTGCCGTTCCATCTCGACAATGATGTCAGCAATGCGTCCATTGCTGCCGCCATATTCCTCGGGCAGATATTCGCGGGGTATTATTTTGGAAAGTTGTTCTATATTTTTGTGCACGTAAAACTGTGTGAAGAAATTCTCATTAACTATCGTAAATATGACCAAATCAAAATATGTGATAAGAAATTGATATACCTCATAAAAGACGTAGACCTTTTATAAATAAACTTTTATAATTTTGCCGGTCTAGATTCCGTTCACAGGAATCACATAAATAAACCCTCTAAATATCCCCCAAAATAGTGCAGATTTATACTTTAAAGCGACTATTTATATACTTGAAAGGGGAAGTACCAAATTTATGATCCTGGTACAATTAATTGTGGTCATAAAGTTAATTTGATGCAGATAATACAGCACAGTGAACCCCCATCTATAATACCCTTACTGTACGCCGGGTATATTTCAATATCAATCTATTCCAATCGAAAACATTATTGATTTTCTCTAATTGGAAATTAATAGAGCTTTTTGGGCTTATCAATTGATATTTGGTACTTGAACATAGCTGGGCTGATAGCAAACTGATAATAATAGATTATCTCCTATTTCTTTTTAAAAAAAAATGGCCTAAATTGGAGCCAAAATATAACAGAATATTGCCACAGTTTCAAAAATAAATTCTAAATAACTTACTCGATCCTGCAGCTTGTTGGGCATAAGGCTTCTGGCCAAGTTAAGCACAGCTACTGCCTCCTTGGGGCAATTGACCAAATGAACACCCTTCATCCGCATCGGTGCCGCCTTCTCGGCAAACACGCCCATTTTCTTGATGAGCGAAAAATCCAATTGGGCCACCATACTGAGGTTCCACTTGGACAAGTCGAGAATCTCAACGTAGCCGCTGATAACGCTATTATCATCCTCTGTTATCTGTCGCCCCATGACCAGCGTCTCAAACCGAAACAGATCGATCATCTGAAAGACTTTCGGATCAAGTTTGGAATAATCCGTTAGCTGGATGCGTGGTCCGTCCACGCCAAGTGGTTTTGGTAGTCGCACATATGTCCTGGAAATGAAGAGAATGCTCTTAGACATCTTGCTGAGCCAGTCAGTTTGCTATAGTTGCATAGTTTACCCCGTGCGGCAAAACGCAATGCTTCGATCATCCATGTAGTTCTGGCCAAAGACTTCTGGCATCATTGTTCTTATGGTATAATAATGATCCAGTTTGGATTTGGCCTTCTCCAGACTGAACTTGCAACCCCGCAGAAAGGCAACGAGAAATTGTGCATCTTGGCGTGCTTTCAAATGCGGCTGTTTGGCCAACCAATCTCGCAGTGCCTGCAAATCTTGGGGCAGTCGTTGCTCCACCTCATTCAATTCGGTTGCCGCAATGTGGCGCAACTCGGCGCTGAGTGGACGTATTAGCTCCTCGGCCATAATCTGCTGTACTGCGCCTCGTGGCAACTGTGCGATTACTGAATCTGAACTATATAAAGCCAATTCTTTCTCTATTCTCGCTCTTGGCCAACTAATCAGTTTTCGCTAATCATGACCTTTTATGGCCAATCGTTTGGCTAGTTGATAATGCGTTTTTTTTTGTTTCGTCTGGACTCCATAGCAAAGCATAGTGAAGTACTCTGTTATGTTATCTTAATTTGATTAGATTGAGCGTCAAATTCATGCTTAGTAATTGTTAACAGTCAAACAAGTTAGAATGCTGTATTCGAGTGAGCTCAACTTCGATATACCCTTTATTGTCTGCCTTAAGAAACAGAAAATGCTTGCGACTGCTGATGATGAATGAGATCAATATGCGAATACGTCTTTAACTATAACTTGAGCGTTTATTATCCGATCTTGATTAAGTTTTTCCCGTCGATCAATCATATGTCAATGCGTATTATATATTAATAAGAAGCAACAGGTTTAAAGATTGTAGAAACCGATATGTATTGATATTTGTGAAACGATGGCTGTTATCGATAAAATGAAATAAAGGCGATCTATGCGGGGTATATGAGAACTTATATTCCAAATTCGAACACTCTAATGAATATCTCTGAGATTCACATATCCATGGGTATTGATTCTGATTGATAAAATATTCATATGGGTCGGAGATGCCTCCTTCTGTCAGTCACGGACAAATCCATGATATCATTTTTACCCATTTTCAATGGGTATAAAAATGAAAACTGTTAATCATTGGCTTTTTGGGATAAGGGTCATCGCATCAGATTTGTGAGTCGGGAGCTAGGAAATGGTTATTGTCAATGCAGATGCAAAGTTCGCTTCGCTCAATAAAGGTTGTAGTTGTTGGTATCAGTGGCCTGTTAATCGAACCATACAGTTATATCTACCCTAAGTCTTATCTTATCGCAAAACTTTTGCTGCACAGTGGTGATTGCTTAGCAAATGAAATGTTTTCTGTTTGTTTAATGAATAATAGTCCAAACTAAGAAGATAACTTACCTTTGTAAACTGGAATCAAAGCCGACAGATTTGTCTTATGGAATAGCTGCTGTTCCACAGCATAATTAAAGAGTTTTTCTTAACAGTGTTTTTCATATATAAAAACATCTTCCAATCGATCGTTACACTCCCAGCTACATGCTATAGTTATTAGATCGGCTCCGACATATATCCTGCCTGCATAAATTCCAAATATCATCAGGATATCAATTTTTTTGGTTTATGCTCGTATTGAACTTGAGAAAAGTATAAACACAATATTGGAGCAAGTGCATATAAATTAGTTTAGGGTCACTGTGCACTTTGGTATCGTCCCAATATCGACTCGTATCATTTGCTACAAGTTGCTAGCGTCCACTTGTTCGCCAAGTAGTCGTCACCTCGAAGCAGGCGTCGATTCTGCTGCCATTAGTCGTGTTTCAACCTAGACGGGGCACACACATGCACACACACTCATACACAAGTTTCTCTCGAATAACCATAGTTGTCACAATTTTGCTTAAAGTTTCGATAGTACAAAATTTGCAGTTATCCCCAACACAATGGCCAAAATAAGACAGCTGGTGCCAGAGTTGGCGGAAGTGGCGCGTGTGGAGCTCAACGAGGATGAGGCGAATCGAGATGCCTTAATTATGGCTCTACGCAATTGGATTAACGAACAGAACTATTTGGAGGCGCGCACCGATGATCAGTTCCTGGTCGCATTTCTGCGCTTCTGTTTGTGGGATCTGGAGCAGGCCAAGAAGCGAGTGCTCTTCTTCTACGACTACAAGTCCAAGGAACGTGGCCTGCTCAAGTCACGTGCTGTGGATGACAAACTCTTTGAACTGGCCAGATCAGGGTGAGAATTAAGTTCAAGTCAACTTTATCAAGTGAATGTATTTGTATTTTCGCTTTATTTTCATTCAGCATATTCGCCACACTACCCAATCCCATTGGCCCTGGTGGCCCACGTATCCATTTCACACGCATGGGACATATCGAGACTTCCAAGCACAGCGTTGGCGACATCTTTCGCTTTCATGCTTTCCGCTCTGAGATAGAGATCAATACCGATGACAATTGGAACATTGCCGGAGTCGTTGAGGTCATTGATTTCACAAAAATACCATATTCGCTGCTGTTGCAGTTTGATTCGAGCCTGTTCAAGCGCATGAATGCATTCCTCGAGCATGGAATACCCACGAATCTGTTGGCTACGCACATTGTGAATGCCTCGCGTGAAACACAATTTGTCCTAACCATAATCCGCAATGTGATGAAACAAAAAGAACTGGTGTGTAACTTAAACTGCATGTCGTTCTCTTATCGAACAAATTCTAATCAGTCTCGTTCATTATCTTCTATAGCTGCACATACATCCAAATTTGGAGTCGTTGCATAAGGCCATTGGCAAGGAGTACCTGCCGACGGAGCTGGGTGGTAACAATGGATCGCTGAACGAAGCCATTACCCGCTATGAGGCACAATTGAACACCTTTACGCCGTACTTCAATGACGATGAGCGCTTTGGGGTCGATGAGAAGCTGCGTGCTGGGAACAGCCAGCAGCAAGCTGCGCTTGTCACTGGTGTCGCTAGCGCTGAGGAGGGCACCTTTCGCAAGCTAGATTTTGATTGAGGGGCTTCCGGGGCTTTGGGGGCTGTTAACTGTATATTCAAATGCACATACTATATATATATATATATACAAAAACATATACACCTCACACTCCCTCCCTCTCTATCTCTCTGTATCTCTCTCTCTCCATACATACTATATATATATATAAATACATATATATGTACATGTAAATACATACATATATGTGTATATATATGTATATATATATATATTTGTCCACATACCCTATACATATAGTATGTAGTATACAGCGCTATAGCGAACTTTGGTCATTGTTAAAACCTGATATTTTATAAAAATTCTTAGAAAGCAACATCGATACTAAAAGCAAAATTGAACAATGTTACAGCAAAGAACACACTAAAATAACAATGAAAAGAAAAAAGAAAAAAAAAAGCCATAAAATGGCAAAAACCTCATGAATGTCGATTATAATTTATTGCCGTTCTTATCAGTGAACATACCAACATTTCCCTATGCTTAGGACTTTCCATAAAAATTTGTTTTACGCTCCAAACTAAAAAAAAAACCAAGAAGATTGTTTCACGCTAAATATCGCTCACTATATGTATGGATGTCTTCTTCTACTTTTATTCTTACTATATACATAAGTTTTGGTTGGCTTTTATTTTAAACATGCATACCCACTTACAAATATGCATACACACACATGCACACATATACATACATACATACATACATTCTTTTTCGATAATTTTATGCGTTGGCTAAGTGTCGTCTCTACTAATTTTTGATACTAGTTTACACATTTACATATATATTAGTATATACATGCATACATACTACAGATACATACTTACAATTGACAGTGTATTATTGTAGCGACCCATGTTGAGTACGTTAATAAATTAAAACGAATTTGTTTAAATGTCAAACCAAAAACAAAAAAAAAAAATGAACATCTGATTCGCCACAAAAAAGATACCACACTATTTGTTCCTCTTTTCTCTTTGATTTGTACAATGATTTATGTCGCAATGGTTTGTAAAATGTTATCAACAAGCTGATAAGCGCCTCTGACGTATCCTGTGTTACGATATTATCTTCGCTTTAGATAAAAGGCTTTCGACACTGCAAGGTTGTGTTGTTAAATCAGTCCCAACAAACTAAGCAATCGAATCCACTAAATCACTTGAATGCCAAAGTTGACATTCACATTTTAAGCCCTTCATGGTTTGTAACAACATTTAATATTATTCACTGCTCTGCATTTGAATTACAATTTATACGCGCGCAATTTTCCTAAGTGCTGTAAGTGTGAGCGAGTCAACTATATAAGTAGTCAGAGCAGTGCTGACAAACCGCAAACTGTGTGACAGTGTTGTATAGCACGCGAATTTGGAACTTTGTACCGCAGCTGGGTTCATTGGCACAAATATATTTATCCGGTGGAGTTGATCAAAATGGCACAAGCAATTAAATACTATTTTGACTTTCTATCGCCTCCATCGCGTGCATTGTGGCTTGCACTCAAACTGGGTAAAACGCCATTCGAGGCTTGCCCCGTAGCGCTGCGCAAACGTCAGTACAAATGCGAATTTACTCCAAAAGCCGGAAAACTAATTTGATGTCACTTTACAGGTGAACAGTTGACCGATGAGTACAAGAAGATCAATCGCTTCCAGAAGGTGCCCGCCCTGGTGGATGGTAACTTCCATTTGAGCGAGAGTGTGGCCATGGTACGGTGTGTATATTAACCTTAGTTCCAAAGGTCAAAAGATTAGAAATTAAATATATGTCATTTTGTACTTTCTTAGTTACCTTGCGGATAAGAATCAGATGAGCGAGCAGCTTTATCCAAAATCCTTGGAGTCACGAGCTCGTGTTGATGAATTTCTGGAGTGGCAGCATTTAAATGTGCGCGTCGCCTGCGGCACTTTCTTCATGAAGGCTTGGCTGCTGCCCATTAATGGTTTGGCGCCCAATCCCAAACCGGATGCAGTTGAGAAGTTAACTAAGGATGTTGAGCGCTCTTTGGGTCTGTTGGAGCACATGTGGATGGATAAGGACTTTCTGGTGGGACAAAATCTAACGGTTGCCGATCTATTTGCTGTCTCCGAAATTGAGCAGCTGAGTAAGTGTCACATTAAGTTTGATTTTAATGTATACCTAGTTAAATGCCCATATTCCTTGCCAGGACTTTGCAAGTTCAATGTGAACGAGCGAAAGTTTCCCAAGGTGGCCAAGTGGCTGGAACGCGTCCGCAATGCTGCCAAGCCCTATCACGATGAGGCCTATGAGTTTCTCAATAAAAAGTCCAAGCAGGCGGTGGAGTCCAAGCTCTGAACTGAAGCTATTCAAAGTACCTATGTCCTTGATCCTTTAAGGGTGCATTTTTTGTTTTGTAATAATTTTACTGCCCAGTTAAGTTTAATTTTTGTTCTTGTGCTTTACCATAATCTATTGATTTTGTGTGCTTTAATTAATTCTTTCTAAAACATTAAACAGTTATTATTTACCATATATCTGCTAGGATTACTTTGTTGCTTAGAGCTAATCAATGTCCAGTTTTCTAAACGAACCCTCAATGCCAAAGAGCGTTTCGGAATTGATGGGCTGACCTTGTCGCAGTTTCTCATTTGTACCATATCCCGCATCCTGCTGGAAGAACTCGGTGTAGTCGATCAGCTTCTGCGTCCAGGTATCCACAACATTCTGTATGTTGCCATTGGTGCCGCCATATTCTACAGGCAGACACTCCTTGGGCACATATTTGTAGAGTGTATCCAGTTTGGAGTGTATATGGAACTGTGAGAATCAATTCGTATACAGTTATTGATATAATACATATATTTATTTTAATTAGATTATTGATTGGATTATTCCAGAAACTCACCCGTTTCCGTATCTTATCGCTCATCAAACTCTTTGCGATGGACATTGCCTTCTCGGCGATCGATGGCGCATTGATGAAGTGAAATCCCTTGGGTCGGTAGGGTAACGCTTTGTCACCCAAGACGGCCAGTTTCTTGATCAACATCGCATCGAACTGGAACATGTGTCCGGCTGTGACGCCCTTCATGTCAATGATCTCCACAAACCCGGAAACCATTGCATTATCATCCTCACGTATCTGTATCTCGCCTAGCATTGTGTTGACCTGCATGACCTCCGCAATCGAATACTGATTGGAATCGTAGTATGCATAGCGCGAGATGTGTATCCTTGGACCATCCGGTTGCAGTGGTTCAGACAGTCGCAGCAGGCAGCTGTTTAAACAATTGCCAACATAAATACTTAGTGAGCAATATAGATGATTATTAAACATACCCCGTTTTGAGTATGCTGAGCTGTTTGTCGCCCACAAAGCGATTCTTATAGAGCTCTGGAACCGCGCCACGCATCGCATAGAAGTTGTCCAACTTTAGTTTCGTCTTCTCCAGACTGTACTTGCAGCCCCGCAGGAATGCGACCAGGAATTGTGCATCATCGCGTGCCTTTAAATGTGGCTGCTTTGAGATCCATGTGCGCATTGCCTCAATATCCTCGGGCACACGATCGGGCACCTCGCCCAGCTCCTGTTGCGCTCTGAGCTCCAGCTCGGCGCTGAGTGGACGTATGGTAAAATCATCGCTATTCCGATTGGATGACATTGTCTTTTTCTAATGGATGATACACGCAAAATTTGATTTATTGAATTTCACTCTTGCAACAGATATATAGATATATCATATCATATATTAATAGTAGAAAGCGAACTTCCGGGAAAATTGCGGCTGTCATGCATATAAACCCTCAGATTAGATATGAAAGCAAAGCTACCCAAGCTGATTTGTTATTGGATTGTCAAATATCCTTAAGCAAACATTAAACATGCACATCGATTTTTAATTACAATTATTTTACATTTGTGTCGGCAAATTAGTCACAGACGCTTATCAATATATGGCGCTAGATCAACCTTATGCACACTATCTACAAAGGCTTAGGCCCTGACTTGTCTTTGAGCACTGTAATATTCGACCTCTACTCACAATTGTCTATAATTTAATGTTAGCAGTAATTTATATAAGTATGAATGTGCCCCGACGTTCGCGTGTGTGTGCACATACAGTAGATAGCTGTATCTTATATATGCATATGTCGTGCTGTGCTGCGTTATTTAAATAATAAATTGAAATTTAACCAGTAAATACTACTGACCGCGAGTATGGTCGATGTGCGACTGTCGGCGCTTCACTTTTGGGTACTCTGCTTTTTGGGTAGTCGAGTAATTTGTTCATGTCGTCACAGGTCTTACATGACGCATGGACAAATGACAGGTTGTTGGAGCACCCTTCCCAAATGCGAAAAGACTCAAAATCAAGAGTGATACAAAGAGACAAAGAGCGAGAAAGAGAGGAATGGAATTGATGACTCTTTAGAATAATTTAGCACTGGTGTCCAACAGGCAGTTAACCAGCAGAGATAAGATATCAATGTCATGTATAATAAAAATATACATATAATAGGTAGTCTGATTATGAAGAGGAGATATCAGCTGCACTCGAGTGACATCTTCGGCAAGTGCTCCATCACAGAGATGAAAGTCTCACGAGTATAAAGTCCAGCAAACATCTGGTTTTGTTTTCGACACTCTCTTTTTGGTCGACAGTTTATCAATTAACGAGTGTGAATATGATATCTAAAGCATTTTAATTTTTACCTGTCTACAGAGTTTAGATAAGGGCATTATCGCTAAATATGATACATCTGTTTTATTGTTTTTGCTGTTTTTTTTCATAGTAAAGTTTCACTCGGTTTTTTATTACATAGCCGCACTAATTATCATTCGTTATCGCGCATATATTTAATGATCCTACCCAGGAACATGTGCACTTATTTTGCTGTCTAATAACAAATATCGTAAAGTATATCAATTTTGATTTGTTAAAACAGCTGACAAGTCATTACTTCACAGCAACGACCTTATCAACAACCTTTGATATAAGTAATTTAAGTTGTTTCTCATATATTTATCATCGCTCGTTTATTAAAGAACTCAAAAAATATTCCTAGTCATACACAATTCAAAGTAAAAGCGTAGGGAATAATAATTAACGAGTTTTTGTAATTAAGTATGCAATCATTTTTATATTTAACAGCAAAAGTATGCAATGCATTTTAATATTTCATCAATTTCAGCCAGCGTAAAAGTAGGCAATGCAAATTTAAATAGAATTTGCAGCCGATTCTGTGCGTCTGCTACTTGAGATCAGGAAACAGCAGAATTTCTTTAGTGACCATATATTTGTTAATACGGGCAGTTCTTCGAATGACCTACAATTTTTTTACAATTTAATCGAAGTTTCCAATGCATTTTATTGGTGCTGAAAGTGTTCAATGGAAATTCAATTACATAACTGATCTTAAGTTAAAGCCAAAAGGACCAGCTCTTAATAAGCTGCCTGCGCGACTGCTGCAACGCCAATAATACTCAGGAAATGCATGTCTGTGTCTGTGCAGGATGCGGTGGATCCTGTTTTTAGGTGATTTTGGAGGATTTTATTTGCTTTCTTAGATGACCCCATAATCCTTGAATGCAGATTGATGGAGTTCAATTTGCATTGCTTACACTTGGGCATTTCGGACTGTACAAATGTCACAGACATTAACGAACCCAAAACTCACTCTGTTGTAGTGGGTAAGTCTTGAGCATTTTAATGGGAATCAATAATACACAATTATATTACCATGAATGAAGCAAAACTGTGTATTTATTTATTTCATCAAAATATGTATGTATATGCGCTCAACTTAAATGTGTGTTGTTTTTAAGGACATAAATATACAGATATATCGCACTAACACTAACAAAAAATATTAATAATAAATTTAATAACTCGAATTGCTTATTGTTCTTGAGTTTTTTTTCTTTTTTCGTTTTATGGTTCATAACTGAAGCGCACACATAAAATTTATGATAATATCACATTATTTAAATATAAATAATTAGAATGGGTTTAAAATAATCAAATCAAAAATACAATGAAATGCGGGGCAGCTCATAGCTACTAAGACTCGGGCCAATCTGTTCGTCCATATGAAGCAATACTGTACTTAACGATATAAGGCAGTTGTGGCTGAGAAATTCGAATAAATTCTCAAAACGGATTCATTGCGTATAAAACTAGATATCTTAGTTTATGTATATATATATAATTGTATAAAAAAATGTTATATACGTTATAATATAGACATGCGGTACAAAAACATATCCTGATATTCGGTCCAATAGATGGCAAGTTTTCTTCTACTTTTTTTTGCTTGTTAAATAGTTGTTCGACAGCAAGTGAATGAATTTTAGAAAAATATAAACTAAAATGTACACTCGCTCTGTAAGGCCGCTGTGTGTGTGTCTGTGTGGGTTATGCAATGGAACGTTCTACTGTCTGACAGTAGTATCGCTTAAGGATGACTGCTAGGATCATACCTTACATTATGCTTAAAGCTATTTCTAGACTTGTATAGATCAAATGTTGCGTTGAATCTTAACTAAGTCGGGCCAACAAATTCAACACTACCACCAACACCAACAAGAGTCCTTGCTGCCCTGTACTGGTTTTTGTCGCTGAATTCCCCTCGGTTGTCTCATTGACAGCAGATACGAGTGGTGCCGTCCAGCCCTGCTCCTCATCGACCTCGTTCACACTGCGAGCACACTGCATCCACCTGCGGGAGGAGGGTCTGGGTCGTGGATGGGCTACTTTCATGCGATCATCGTTGAACTCCCAGTATCCGTAGTTTTTGAAGAAGTACGTCTTGCCGTCCGTATACTGGAATGCCGAATCGATATTGTAACCGACACCCGCCCAAATGGACATGTCCCGTGGATAATCCAAGTCCACTTTGCCCGTGTGATCATTGATGCTCCAGTAAAGAGTGCCACTGGTCAAATATGTTCGATTATTGTGACCCCACACAAAGGCAGCATCCACGTGAGTCAAGGTCGGTGGTAAACCCAAACTAGTCAACGGTTGTGGATATCCTGCCGCCAGTGTCGACGTATCAAATATATAGTAACGACGTCCTGTTGGGAATCGAAATATATAATTAGAATATATTATTATTTCGCATTAATCTTTTATTATCTTACCAACGAAGAACACAATCTGGTGCTGTGAATTCTCATAGACAGCATCGACCCTGTTGAAGTCCTCGGGCAGATCGGGCCAGTGTCTGCGTGTCTCCGCCGGATAACCAGGATATAAACCATTTCTCCCGATACGCCACACGAACTGTTAGAAGAGAAAATAAAATATTTAACAAATAGAACAAAGAAATTTCCCAAATTATTTAAAATAGAAAAGAATACCTTAGTAAAATTAGTCAAGGATATTTTGGAGACTATATTACGTATAAAACAAACAAACAGTTAAAACAAATTTAATTACAACTTTAAATTCGTAATTTATATACAAATACAAAATCGACGAAACTTGTAACTATATCAAAAATATTCCTAGTTGACTTCTCACTTTTTATATTTTATTCGTTTTCTGCTTACCTGTCCTCTGAAAATGAAGAGCTCCGAGCGTATCATGGAGATGGCATCGTAGCTGGTCATGCACGTGGCTGGCTTCGGTTTGCGTGGCTTTTGAGGTTTATTGGGCCGATTCGTAATTGGGTAGTTGTACGGTCTACTCGTTGTTGTCGAGGTTGTCATCAACTCACGATCACGATTACGGTCACGCTCGCGTGCACGTTCCCGCTCCTGTTGCACTCGCTCACGTTCTTGCTGCTGTCGCTCTCGTACCCGATCGCGGCGTCGCTGTCGTTCACGTTCTCGTTCACGCTCAAGCTCTCGCTCCCGTTCTTGGGCTCGCTCTCGCTCCCGTTCTTGGTCACGCTCTTGCTCACGCTTACGCTGCCAGTCACGCTCACGCTCCCGCTCCCGCTCCTGCTCTTGACGAATTCGCTCTTCCCGTGCACGATCTCGTGTGGGATCCTCATTGGGATAGTAGTTGATGGGCCTCTTTGGGTAGTAGGTGAGAGACCGTATTGTTGTTGTCGTCGTTGTAGTTGTTCTGGTGGTGGGTCGTGGTCGATAGGGTCCCCAAACCTTATCCTTGGCACCATATAACTCCTGGATACCATTGCGATCATCGTCTGGCAATTTGCCATTAACGTCAATGTTCTGATACCAGGGAAACATGACCGCATTCTCGTCCGATGAGTGGCCCAGGCCCAGCGAATGACCCAGTTCATGTAGCGCCACATTCAGAAAGTTGGTGCCTGTAAAGAGTAGTGAAAAGGAAGACGGAATATCCGATTGGTTAATGGCATCAGTTGTGAACGGACAGAGGGAATAAAGAGGGGGCCGAGGGGCATAAAGACAACAACGCGTCGTCGTCGTCCTGACGACTTTGTAAGTGGCATAAAAATGGCGCTGTTGCAACATTTACAATGAAAGTCTCATGTTAAAATACATTTAAGGGGTGTACTCGACATGGCTGATACCCTCTTTGAGATCATATTTAATGCAGTTAAAGCTGATAGGAATACGATTATTGCCCAACATTTGATTGAGCAAGGTGAATTCTATTAAACCCCATGTGGCACTTGATGGTTACAGGGTATAAAGAACGATTGCTCGCTGCTGCGTTAGCCAACGTCACGCGTCATGCTGACAATTTTTTATTGGCATTAAAAACCATTAAAAATGTCGACGTTGGTTGTGCGTTTTTGGTTTGCTTATGGGTAAGGGTTTGTCGGCTTGGGGTTATGGGTTATGATTCGAATGGGAAGGGGGGTAGGCGAGGTGGGTTGGGCTGTTGCTAGGGTCACGATTTATAGCGCTAAATTACAAAACGCATGCAGGCAGCCGGCGCCAGTAGCAATTGTCGTTGTTGCCGTGGCTGTCGTTATGCGTGTTGCGTTGCGTATGCAACGCTTATTGATTTTGCCACTTGCATCAACTGGGAGAGTCGGCTCCTATGTTTTGTGGCAATGGTTGCGGTTTTGGCGCTTGCAATTTGATCCCGCAGGGTTTTTTAGACCGCAGGCAACAGCCGTTGTTCGTTGATGCTGTAGCTGTTGTCTGACTATGATTATTATTATTATTATTGTTGCTATTGTTGTATATCTAACGTAATTAATTTATGCGACTAAATTATGATGTGGCCACAGCAGCAGCTGTCAGCTAGACCTCAACGTACCTTCACTATTACTGCTATTCACATCAAAGTCCCAGTTCTCATCTGCATCGAAATGTGCATCGCCTCCGCGCCCAACGCCCGGATAGAAGGCGTGCGCCAAAACCAAACCAGGTCCATCGAACTTGTAGCCATCGCCATGATCGCCCCTGCAAAATGAAGGATTACGAAAGAATTGAGTATTGTAGAAGGCAGTGTATAGATCGATGACAGCTTTAATTATAAAAAAGACATCCCTTAAACTATTCTTTAAGGAACTTCGAATTGCATCCAGGAACATTGCACCAAACGAATACATAAGCTTTACTTTCCCAAAAAAAAAAAGCCTCAATCATTTGTCAGTAAGATGTGTTTATGGAGTTGGCAGCTTGTAGCAAGCGTTGATTAGTCAATTCAATGGAAGTTACGAGTCTTTTACAAAAAACAGAGAACGAAATAAGAAAATGAAATGGGCGAATCTAATGTGCAGCTTATCTAGCAAAAAAGCAGCTGCAACATAAACTCTTTGATTTGAAATTGGTAGCCAGTGCACAACGCACCCATCTCGTTGCTCTGCCCCTCTCTGCACCCAGTACCTCATCCATAGCGCGTTGTCGTCGTCATCATCATTGGTTTCATGGTTTTAATACTTGGCTTATTTATCGTTGCCGGGCTTTAAGTGCAGTTTTATGTGCTTGCCCCATGCTGCCCATCTTTATGGCGCTAAAGAACGTTTGATTTTTTATGGGTGTGTACATAAAGCAGTATATATAACCTACCCACGCACACATGCACGTGCACACACGCACACACACATACATAGGCACACACACACACAGAAGCACACCTTCTTGATACGCACCTCACAAACATAACCTGTATATCCGCCTGAGAGCTATATACTTCACGAAACGTCAACTTCGAATGGTTTTCCCATACGAGTAACGCTCGAGATATCAGCTTTCGTATTTTACCCACATCTGGCATTGATAGGTTGGCAAAACTGTAAAGATATCAAAAAAATGCAAATGTTTTAATATAATACTTATAAGAGTTTGCAAAGACAATCTTAATTTCGTTGATTTCAAGACACATTCAAAATTGTAAAGCTTCTTTATCTTCTCAAATATTTAAGAGCTGCTCACAACTACAAAGCGCATTTGAAATGCTCTTGTATTCGAATATTGCATTTGCATTGAGACAATAAAGGAATTTGACTAAAGTACAAACAAAAAAAATATGATATGATTTTTTGTTGTTATGGTTGGGTTGAAAATCCGTCATCAAAGATTTCAGTTGAAACTCGAAACTTCAAAGCGCATACCTAACTGAAAAAGATTCTTTCCTTAGTTGCATAGTTGGAGATACATTCATACGATATTTAAGAGTGCTTAGACTTCATTCCTTGCACATTGTTCGCTGACAATTTGGCCAACAACTTTAGCTCAACGTGGTCATGTTGCAAAAGATACAAACCGCTAATATGAGGGGACGACAACACTATACACACACACACACACACAGCCACACCCACACCTACACACACGCATAACTTTCACTTTGTGATGCAAAAATATCCTTTGTTTTTTTGCCACACACACAAGTTAGTTCAACCAAATTTTGGGTTGAGCATGGAAGTGGTTTGGGCCTTGAAGTTGTGGGCGTGTTGCTTTCACTTAGTTTACTATTTTTATTTATTTTTTTTTTGGTAAATTTTGTGCCAAAGTTGGCAACAAGTTTACCTGCCGCTGTATCCGCTCGGACAGTGGATGATGGCGCAGTTTTAGTAGCTATCCCTTAGCATAGCTTTGGATGGTGCTGCTCCATGTTTTTCACATTTTATGCAAATTAGTTATGTTTCTTTTATGACATTGCAGCTGCCCGTCTGTTGCTCTTCACTAAGGCACAAAGTTATATTCACCCTTTCGTTTTTCTGTCCTTTCTGTCTTTTTGCTGTTTGTGTGTGGCTTCCACAAAATCCACAGGCCTGTGCAAGCAGAACTTTCTTACTCTCAGCTGTTGTCCTCATTCTTAATTTCATATGTATTTTTTCTATATATATTTTTTTTAGAACTATTTGTTTTTATTCTCTGCCTGCAAGCGTTTAGTTGGCTTTTGTGACTGACCCCTTTACTATTGACTTCTCTCCGGTTACACAGTGCGTATGCGTGTTTTGTGTGCTGCCCATTTGAGGCTCGTGGCCATTTAAGTGGTTTAGTCCCTGGTAGTAGGCTACTCTTCTTACAGCATAGTTTTTCCAATCAAATTGTGTGTGACACGTCGCCAAGTCAAGGCTTCCATCTCCATCTCCGTCTGCAGCTGCATCTGTCGCATCTGCATTTGAATGAGAGCCAACAACTGAAGGCGTAACTGGCTGCAACATCATTAGCCTCACGTACGTTACGTGTGATTGAAGAATGTCACAGTGAACACTCAAATAGCGCGACTGACAGTATTTGATATTGTTTTGAGTAGAAGTCATAAATTTTGTGATTTGTAATTAGATTTCATAGTTGTAAGAACTTATTCAAACAAGAATTAATTACCAAAATAAATGATAAACATTTGTGTAACCCAAGAGTTTATCATTAGCGAGCGACTACTGTGCCGTACATGACATAGCCTGTCTAGTTATATTTTAGTCTGTCGTCGAATGTCCTGTGTGCGCCCATGTCCTGAATGTTATGTGTCCAGTTCGTGTCGCAGTTCATTTCCATTGGGCTAATGTTGGACGACTTTCGACTGTGATTCTGTAGCGCTTTACCCCAAAACGTGCTCAATTGCAACGCCATTTGTTTGCTTAGTTGTTGATCCGTTTGTCCAGGCAACCAGCAGGAGCAGCAGGAGGAGCAGACAGGAGACATAAGCACAGCTCGTCCTGCTGCTGCTGTTGACGCGGCTCGTTTGCTATTTGCTCATCGTTTGTTGTTGCTTTGCAATGGCAAATTAACTGAACTGGCAACAGGAGATGTATCCACATCTATGCTCCCGCTATGCTGTTATGCTGTTGCCCAACCAAAGGCTGACGAGTGCCTTTGTCGTGCTAATATCGTTGCCACTGCGCTTGGATTTAAATGCGAGCCATTGCACTGCGTCCTGTCACGTAGCCATTTCCAGCTGCAGCAACAGCAACAGTCGCAGGAGTCGCTGCAACAACAGCAACAGCAACAGCAACACGAGTCTCCAGTTTGACCTCTGTTTGTCTTTGCCATGTCACTTTGTGTGCCGAGCATTTAAATTATTATGAACCTGCCTCGCTAACTGACAGCGTGGGGCACGGGGCACGGGGCACAGCCACATTGCGGGTTCGAGTTTGTGTTTGGGTTACCTTTGGACTCTAGGTGCTGCTGCTGCTGCTGCTGCAGCTGGTGGCAAACGTGTGCTTTGGCCAATTTGTTGCCTTACACGTAAAACAAACTGAACAATATGCCAAATAGCAACGCGAGAGTTCATTCGCTTCATTTCAGACAGACTGAGCAGAGCTGTCTATTGACCGAGAACCGCCTGCCGTCGTCCTGAGGTGGTTTGCGGAAGGTTTTAAATAAAATACCATATTTAATGGCATTTTACATGCATGCAGAGAATAATGGATCGCCCGATGGACGTGTTTAATTACTTGGGAACATTGCAATTTTCCGTTACCTCAAGTGAGTATTATTAATTACTTCTTTGTAATTGCAATTTGCAATTTACTTGGTAATTTACATATGTACATATTACAAATATTATATATACAATTAAATACTGGTCAAATGTACTTGGTGTCGTGTCGGCCTTTTAAATCACTTCCTGAAGTAGTATTTAATTTATCTATTTTTGTATTTTTTTTTTTATTCAAGTTGTGAACATGCTATGGCCAAACAGTTAATGGCGCCGTCGACACTCGAGACGAACCATAATCCACTTTATATATTTGAGCTGACTTGAATCTGCTCAGTGTGCTCATTTTGTGGCTGGCAGCTGGCAGCTTAAGGCCTGAACATTAAGCACTTTGCCAACTTATTGAATGCCTCGTATAAGTTCGGCTGTGATTCGAGAAATCGACTTTTAAGAAAAGCCAGCATGAGATATCCACGCAAACTCTTAATAAAAATGATGTAATTCACACGCACAAATATATCTATATGTATATATATATATATATATATGTATATATGTATATATGTATGTATTAATAGCTGACATAGAGTGCCGACAAAAAGTTTGCGCGACGAAAAATTGCTGTTTTTCAGCAAGACGCACGCAGCTTAAACTTTTCTCCCTTTTCATTCATTTTTTTGGTTTTTTTTTGGTTACTTTTTTCTTTTCTTATTCATTGCCATATCTATGTACGGATTTTTGTTGCCGAAACTGAGCCGGATTCGACGTTTTTAATTTGTGCGAAATTAAGCAAAAAATAAGCTCATTTTGTTAGTTCGCTACGCTCTTGGGCAAACATTGCCGAAAACTTTCTCGATAACTGTCTGACAACAACAACAGCAAACAAAATTCTTTAGACCCAACCAAACTTTCAACGGAAGTTTATCGGGCCAAAACGAAAAGAAACAAGCAAGCAAGTATTCCAACGAAAATGTGCACGAAATTGTCTCCGTCTACGCAAAGAAAAATCTATGCGATTTAGGAAAAATTGCAAAATGCGCCACCGCCAACGCTGGTGTTGGCTACGCTTGCATTCAGCGGCCCGAGCCGTTTTCTGTTACGCCATCTTCCACTACCCTGTACACATAGTTGCTTCATTGGGTATATGTATGCAGAGTGTTGGTATTTGACAATCTGTTGCAGTCAAGCAAAAAATGACAACTTATTGTTATACAACTGACAAAATAATTCTAGCTGTATATAAAATTCATCAATCTTTAAGCAGTTGACATGAGCAATGCCATATTAAATTGGCTAAAATTGCATATACCCATTAAAATATTAAAGTATGTTCAATACTTAACACAAGTGCAGCTAATTTTACTTTAATGATTGCAACTTTGAAATATATACAATATTCAAGACAGCTGTAGCAAGTTAAACTTTTATGACTGCAAGCTGTCAAGTACTTTATTGCTGATCACGTAGTATCTAAGAGTTCAGCTGCAAAATCATATACTCAACAATTCTACCGTGTAACTTGACTTTTGCTTTAGATACAGGAGGAAAAAAGCATGCAAAGCTGCCAACGGTGATTTAGTTGTTAGCCGTCGAGCAAACATTTCATGGCTCAATGTGCTCAATTCAATCAATTGGCGTACGAAGGATGAACAAATCGTTCGCCAGAAAAGCGGGCAGGCAAAATACACACACACACCACAGATAACATACACACATACACACACAAACACACACCTGGCCAGCTAGTAACTGCAATTTTAATCAAAATATTGTGCGCGTATGTTTGAGGACACTTTGTGACATGACTGTGATAGGCTGTCACAGATTGCCGTAATGCTGACATTCCGGATGGCAATGTGAAGAGTGCCAGCTTTTTTTCTCTGGCTCTTTTTTTGTAGGAAATATCCTTGAATGTTACACATTAAATTCGAGTTTTACAAATAAATTGAATTTATTATACTATTTCTGGGAATTAAGAGTAATCTGATGGCAATATGTGGGCGAAGAAGTTAATCTTCCAAAGAAGTTACTGAATCTTATTTTTGGATATTCTTTTTATAAACATTTTTCAACAAATCGCCCATCTTTCTGGCTCGCTTATAATTTGCGTTGATAAAAAAAGGAAAATGTATATTTTATTTGCAGGATTACTACGGTAAAACCACAAAGTAACAATGAATTAACTTTCTGAAGAGTAAGCAATATCTTTTCTAAGATAGCTCTTTAAGCTGATGGCTATTTTAGGAAAGATATTGATAAGTTGCTACTATTAATATAGATATTTAAAATGAAAAGTATTACTCATAACTATAACTACAATGAAAGGGTATTTGGAGTGTGCGTTTTAGTATTTCTGAGAATACTTCGTGTCTTTTGAGAGCATTTGTCATTCAACTGGGGTTA